TAGAGCTGCATAGAGTCAGTAAATAATTATTGTAATGTAATTTAATCTCTAGACCCAATTACACAGCAATCCAGTACCGTGTTCATCTATGAATTATAATAATAATAATATGTGTACATGTTCCACAGAAATTTGTTGTCCAGGTAGAATCCAGCAGTGGCATTAAATGAGGGATGACACAACTACCACCATACATTTTCCCATGGGACAACAAGGCGGCCGAACTGGGCAATTACCGGGTCAATTACACTACAGCTTTCATAGACGAATGTGTGTGGCTTGGGCTGGCGTACAACCGAAAGACCGCTAACGTCAGTATGATGAAGAAGTAATCTAAAAGGACTGGTGATGGCACGTATTGTAGGGAGTTACGCCACTCAATTATCTGGGAATGGGGGGACGAGGAAATAACGGAAAACGACAAACGGTCCAATAAGTTGTTTTTTTCTTACATATATTTTATTACATTTTTATCTTGAAACAACAATAATACAGGTATGCACAATATTATATTATATATAATTGCGCATTCCATTGTAAAAATAATATATTCCATCCGGTAGATGCCTTTTATTTTATTTTTAGAACTGTATAAAATAAAACATACGAGTATTAGATCACTGAGTTTTACTTTGACATTTATTTTAACTGTAATTTATTCATCACAAACTTACACATTTATTAGGATATTTTTAAAATATTGCAAAATATAAAACAATTTTTGAAAAATATACAGTGATTTATCATGGCCCAGCGATTTTCTCAAAGAATTTTAAGTGGCTTTGATTTTTATTTTTTTAATTGGATATATATTTAGACTTTATTTTAATTTACAAAATATTATATGGTAAATAAAGGACACTTTTTTTTCTCCTTATCAATCTATTTATCTATATCAGTAACTAGTTTTCTACATTATATTCTAAAAAATGGCCACAATTCATATTTCTAAACATAGAACACTGTTTTTCTTTTCTTGTTAACGGAACATTATATAATTCCTAAAGCTGCAAATCAACTTTAATATTTTTCATTCTTCTCAAAAATGTATACGAATTATTATTATTTCGTTCTAACTACTTTTTTTTTCTTATGTATTGTATACTCTGTATAAAATGATAGTGCTATCAATTCTACTGTAATGTATATTATTGTTATTTTATAAATTTATCATTATTATTTTGCTCAGTAGTAACACTCCACTTAATATGTTTTACTATACATAATATATATGTGTGTGTTATTAGTATTATTATTATTATATTATGTGTACGCGTTTATTCCCCCTCGTCGAGTGTATCACTAATGAGCCATATGTATCCGTATTACCTATAGTTGTTTCCACATACACAATCGCCCTTGTCACATTGTGGTTTTTAGCCCATTATGTCACTATTAGATCACGCTCATGAGTGCCCGACGCACTTCCTTTGTGTCCCGGCCAATCCCTCGTAAAAACCAGTTCTTTCAAATTATAGAGCTCGACGTATTGGATATAAAATACAATGTGAATAGATTTTTTATATTTTTTTTAACATAACATATAATAGAAGGAACGTTCTCCCACGTGTATTTCTAAACGGTTACATGATACGATTACAAATATACAAATATACTTAACCTTCGAGTTCAAACTTTAAAATTAATTATAACAAAACCAAATTAGGATATACCCAATATCCATTCATATAGATCCATATCCATCACCTTTTTTTTTTTTTTGTCAAAGTGCTAAATAATAATACACGATTTAAATGCCAAAAATGCATTCTACGTATAATAGGTAAAATGTATAATTTTTTTCTATAAATTACCTTTAGAAGAATTAATCTTAGACTGAAATTATTATTATTATTAATACCATACAGAGTGGGCCATTTAAACTTTCGGGATGTTTGTTGGTAATAATTTTATAAAAAATACAAATTATTAATTTTAAATAATTTTTCGTTTATTTTGGAAATTTGTTCTGATTACTTAATAAAAATAATATCGCCTAAATAGTCGCCTTCAAAGCGAATGCCATAGTATGTCATTTTTGACATTTCCCATCACTTTTCGAAGTGTTTAGGGTTGAATGGAGCCGTAAATAAACAAAATTGTTGGTTCTACGCCAATGAAAACCATCAATTAATCCACGAACAACCTTTTAACAATCAACGCGTGACTTTTTGGTCCAGAATTTTTACGAAAACAATCATTGGGCCGTTTTTTTTCGTAGGAGATGCTGGAGCAGCCGTATCCGTCAGTGGAGAGCATTATCGGGTAATGATGACGGATATTTTGATTCCATTTCTTACTGGCAACGTTATGAATGACTATTGGTTTCAATAAAACTGCGTCACAGCTCATACAACTCACGGACCCTAGAAACGTTGAAAGATAATATATGACAGGAAATGGCCGCATTCAGCCGGAAACACTTCGAAAAGTGATAGAAAATGCCAAAAACGAGCACATTACACCATTCACTCTGAAGGCTACCATTTACACTATATTATTTTTAAAATCAGAATAAATTTCTCTGTCTAAAATAAACGAAAAATTATTCAAAATTAATAATTTGTTTTTTTTTTTTTTTTTTAATTATTACCAAAAAACATCCAAGGGTTTAAATGGCCCAACATGTACTTATAAGTAAATTATATATTTTAAATACCTAATAAACCTAATTAAACCTTACTTCCTCTACCCCACCAAACTCCAACGGAAATTGATTTTTTTTTTCAAATTTATAAAACCCCCTTTGAAAATAAATCCTGGTTGCGCCACTGGTCAAGTACGTATGGTAAGTATATTTTTTTTAAAAAAGCCTTCGTGAGACCACTGAGACATTAGGTGTTTTGAAATAATACGTAGTTTTCAATTTAACAGCTAGAACGCAACATTCAGCTTGGATTTGATGATTTTAAGTATATTACAACACCTTTTATTCCATTTCCTTCTAACGTCATTTCAGCAGTTGTATCAACCACCATGTTTATCAATTTATAATTATTTCAAAAAAAAAAAAATAAAAATGTAATTTACATTTATCATTTCTTGTATTATATTTTACATAGAATTTTGTTATTAGGGTGTGAACGTTGTCTGGATTCTTACGGTGCCCCCGGGGATCTGATAAAGGTCTCTCTCGTAGTATAAAAAGAACAAAATTATGTCATTATATTATATTGTATACGCGGTATATAACATTGTTTAGTCGGTACTGTAGTATTTATTCCCGTTTTATCCCCTGGGTGTAATGTACGGCTGAGTTAAGCCTTTCACAGAGTTAAGTACCTCGATAGAAAAGGGGATTATCTGGTTACAAAAACATGCTCCGGGTTTAACGACTGTGTACGCGAGAATAGAATGACATAATATAATATAAAAGCGAGCGAAAATTACTTTTAAGCTAACGAAATTTGTTATTACGGTTGATGGAGTTTTACAAAAATTATTCAACCGGTTCGTGTGCGGGTTAAAGTTATTATACGATACATAATATAATATTATATATAATAGCAGTACTTATACTTACTAACCGCATACCTACTCTAAAAGACATAAAAATAATAATACTTACCGACAAGGGTTAAACCACGCTCAGAAAATTCCGATAACACGACATTTAAAATTATAACATTTCGATTAAAACGCGACAAAGTAAGTTTTAACACATAGATACTATAAATGATAAATAGCATATATTTTAACGATTTTAATTCAATTTTTTTTTTATTTACGTGCTTTACTTTATAATATAGATTTTAAACTAAAATAAAACTCATTTGAAACTTGAAAACAAATCAAATATTAAAAACATAATAATAATAATTAATTTTAGATTCTGAGCATAGTGAGAAATGTATTACTTTACTATATGATGAAAAATTTTCTTTACTTGTTCATTTTTGTTATAATATCTATTAACAACTTTTTACCGGAAATCTTGTTTCAAATCATCAACTTCATGGGTGATTTTTGGTTGCATAAATAAATAAGTACAGTTGTTTGAAAAGTGATAAAATAAATCGTATACCTAGGTGCGAAAATATGAACATTAAAATACGTAGGTACCTAGGTAAATAATAAAGACGTTCGCTTTATTGAATAGTTAAATTACTACTGGTGTTCACTAGTCTGTGCTTATGAAGACCAACATTTTAATTAAACTGATATAAGATAATGTTTTTTTTGAAGTTATTATGATTCAATTTTTTCCATAATCTATATAGATTAGGTATCTACTTAAACAATATTAGAGCTCATTTAATTACTAGATTATTTACATAAACTAAACAATGTATAAAGGATATCATATATTTTAACAAGTTAGTTTATTTAATTATAATTAAATACAATATAGGTACCAAAGTTTTCTATACAATTTATACAAGTATTTACGAGGAGAGGTTTTTTTGAAATTATTTTATTTTGTACCTAAGAATAAAATAAATATTTTAAATATTACATTTTTACATTGTTTAAAATAGTTATTAATATATAATTTTATTGAATTACTTGTACTTTATATGAGAGACATAAAATATAAATACGAAAGTACTGTATGATGCGAATTAACTAAATAATTTACTAACATAATCAACTAATTATTAATTATTGAATGAACCGATGAACAAAATTATGAAATTAGTAAATAAAGTCCCCTGCTTCTCTCAAATATAAACTTGTTTGTAGCATCTAAGTAATAATATTGTATGTACTACACATATCTATTGTAAATTTGACAAAGCCCGTACTTTTTTATGAAATAAATAATAAAATAATTTAATATAATAGTATTTAATTACTAATTTATTCAAATAAACGGACCAAAATCGTATAACACATTTGGTAAAATATATATCTTTAGAATGTATAAACATTAAACATATGAAATTAACAGTACCGTGTATACATAAAAAATTCTAAAGGCAGCTAAAAATGATCAAAATCTTGAATTGAGAGGTTATTTGCAAATCCATTCCTGGAATTTACATGTTATTGTAATATTTGTGGAATAACAATGTATATCTGTATTTTAGCCTATATGTATGCTCTATATTATTTTACTATAATATAATATAGAACGTACAAATAGGTAATAATTTTGATACAAAATCAATAACTGATAAATTATTCGTGATAATTCTTCTTTTCTCTTTTCTTCTTTTTATTTTTCTTCATCTTAGTTCTTATCCATTTCGAATGTTACTGACCAGTGTAACTATTTTATCTTTATCTGCGGTTTCCCTGAAGATTTCAATCGGTGTTTCGTTGTATCATGTCCTTAAATTTTGCATCTGTTCGTGGGCAATCAGAATTTTTTATTCCATTGTTTCTTCCTTGAATAATAGACTGCAACCATCCGTATTTTGTTTCATTTCTCATAGGTCCAAGATATAGCCGATTTATCGGAGAAAAAACACATCCTACCCGTATAGCAAAAAACAAAATATAGTTTTCTTTTTCATACACTTTTAAAATCTAAAATTGTCGTAAAAAATATCCAACTTTTTAAATTTACGAACGAAAATCGCCTAGGTTATCCGTAGATATTGATATAACCGAAAGTAAATAAAATCGCTATAATTGACTTTACAGACGTAAACTTTATAACATGCTGTCCCCTATACAAATATCTAAAACGATGAAATAAAAGCGTAAACACTGATTAAAATTTCAAGAATTGTTTCTTGTTTCAGAATTTAATTACGCTGTAAAGGATGTTAATTACTTCTCGGAACTTTTCTCGCTTATTAATATGCTCTTTAAAACTAAAACGTTTTCCTATATTAGTAATTAATTTATATACATTTCTTGTTAATTATTGCACTCGGATTTTACGTAAAAAAAAAAAATTAAAAAAAAAAAAACAATGAAGATAAGTGTATTACCCTCCCTCGTAATTAAAGTTTCTGCGTAATATAATTATTATACAGAACATTTAAATGACTAAATTAGTTAAGATTGTAAACAATTTTAAAATATTAGCTGTTAAAATTATTATATTTTTAATTTGAATAATAATTAATGTATTATTTTATACAGTACCATAAATTGAATATTGGTATACAATATATAAATGCGAGCGATTATAATTACGCAAGCATTACTGAAACAACACACGAGTATCACTAATAGAAATACATCAAATAGATAAACTATTTAACAACGCATTAATGTATATTATGTATCCGTGTATCGAAATAGTATACTAGTATAATAGTATAATCATTAAGTTTATTACATTAGCAGTAAATTACATTTTACACATAGAATCAGATTTGTGCATTATTTTGAATGTTTGAATTTCCACATATAGGTAATTAAATCCAAAATTTAAAAATATAAATATAATTACAATTTTTAACTAAACCGAATTGCTTGAAAATTTAACAGGAAGATCATTATAATTGTACTCTTAGTAGTCAAAAAAAAAAAATAAATAAAATATGGTTATAGTCAATATTAGGCTTATCAACACATCACGCATGTGTATGAATAAATGTCTATACCTAAACAAACATATACCATGTACAATTTTTATTACGTAATATGTAAACATATAAATTATATATATATATTATATCTTATAGGTATAATATGTATAATGTATATTAAAATATATATTTATACCAAATCCAAATTTATATTCCGACGGTTTTGATCGATTTTAAATCTCCGTATTTATGTACGTATGTAAAATACCATTCGTTTATTAGACACATCCCGTGATCATTCCCCTTGGTCTCGCCGAATCTCAGTATCCAAACATTCGATATTAAATATTTACCGCAAAATAAAAAAAAAAAAAAAAAAAAAAAAAAAACCCTTAGCATATTTTGCAAGTCGGGATGATAGGACCTCTGAAATACAAAGCAATTTAGTTTATAATATATACCAATAGCGACTATAAATCATTTCAATCGAAAAACAATCCTGTGCGAAGCTTGAAATAGCCAAAATCTTTTGAAAATTTTACCACGTCTAAAAAAGCTAATATTTCAAGACTAATTTAGACGTCCGTGAAGTTAGCCCCCCTCCACTTTCTCCGATCGGATTCAAACCGGTTTCCGTAATTAATTTGCAACTTTTTGAAGTCTTTAAAAAAAAATTGCAATCTCATACTTACGTCGAAATCAATATTTTGGTTAGGTTAGATCACCCGGTAACTGGTAAAAATATCCGGATCTATAATATCCAAGGAAAAAATATAAAGGTGGAAAATATATAGGTAAAGTAAATAAATATAGTATATTATAATAATCCAAACGACGCATTGATTCATTTATTTATTTTATTTTTATACATACATTTTTTTATTTATAATACATTTATTTGCTGCATTTATTTACTTTATTTATTTATGAGTATTAACCGTTTTAATAATTTTGTTTTTAACTTTATTATTTTATTAATGTATAGGTTTATCCGAAGAAAAAATATCTAAGTATAAATGTATAATAATTAACAAATAATCATGTTCTTATTCATATACATGACGAAGTGATTCTTAAATTTTGTATTGTAAACTAAATTGTGACTGAGTAGTCAAGAATTTCTTGGAATGTATGTGGATATGAATAACAACATGATTATTTATTAATTATTATACATTTATACTTTGATATTTTTTCCACCTGGATATTTTTAAAGTTCCATCCCCTGCCTATAGAAGGTACCAATAAATTCCGTGGTTAGGACAAGAATGGGCAGAAAAATAAATTATTCTGATAATAAAGAATTTATGATACAGGTTATCATTTATCGGTTATCACTATTATTATTTTTTAATAATATATCATCTCAATATAAATCGAATAAAATAAAAAAATGTATTATTTTATTTTAATATCACTTCACTTTGAAAACAGTTTAACCTCTAGCAACAGCGCCCCTTTTAGGGACTCAGAATTTATTGCCCGGGGCGATTGACCCCCACCGCCCCCCTCTAAATACGCTACTGACCCAAACACAAACATTCCATTTTATTTGTGAAACGCGAGATTAAAATAACCGCTTTGCGCCACCACTGGATAGCGCAATAGTTGAAAATTCAATGTAATTGCTATAATATTCAAAAGGTATCGCTAGTAGTTATAGATTACAAAAAATGAGCATTTAATTTCCGTTGTTCATAGAAAAAAAGTTTATGTATATTATTCGCAAACAAAACAAAACGTGTTCGCTTTAAAATAACTTTATTATAGTTATAACCGTTTCGAATCATGACTCATATTTTATACAAGTATAGGTATGACTACAGTATTTTGTCGTCTGATTCAGTGTCTCCACTTCGCCATTTCGCACCAATCACGTTAAGACAAATTTTTTATTCAATCATTATTATAAAATAACATTTGTCTAGAGTAAATTATTGCTTTTACTCGTTTTGAACAAAAACAATAACAGTTTCGCTATTTCTTAGTGTACGCGTTCAGCCTTATTAGGAGTTTGTTTAATTTCTATTCGGATATTTAACGATTCGTCACAATAGAATAGTAGGCATGATATAAAATCAAAATACAGTAAATTATAAATATCTGCTCCGGGAAAGACGACTAAAATTTCGCGAGATCGTCGAAAAAGTCGTCTTCCTTAACGCACGCGTAAATTGCTTTAATCGAATCCCCCCTTCCCTAAAAATGACATATTTTTATTTTGTAAATTTTTTTTAGGTATATGACCTAAATCATTAATATCTAGGTAAAATCAATAAAATATTACGCGACGTATCAAATAAATCATTTTTCTGCGAGTACGAAAAAAATCTTTTTTTTTTTTTTTTCTTGAACAACGTACGTATTGCAAATACAAATATGTATGCAATATATGTATACATATATAGTATATACCTACTCATAATATTTGTTTCTTTGTGTGTTTTCAAATGTATCGAAAAATCTATTATAACGCCAGAGAAAATAATATTATGTATCAGTGTTAAGAAATTGTTTTCGGTTTTGCTTCTTCGTGTTAACATAAAAAAAACGTATGAAATTTAAGAAAATATATACACACGTACAATAAAATAAAATATACTAAAATATATACTGACGTAAAGTATCTATATCGATTTGTAAAAAGAAAATATAGGTATTTATTGCCAAAAACATAATGGTTTTTTTTTCTTTTTATGTTTCGTGAAACACGATGGTTGTATTACCTATTCGCAAGTCCTATTCACCTAAGTAGGTAAGTTTATTCGTTATTTTTATAACAAAACTCGTGTAATAGTTTAAAATAGAAAAAATTGATATTTATGAAGATTGTGTACGATAGTATATAAAACATAAATTACCTACCTATTTTATCAATTAATTAAAATATGCATCGTAGTTTTTGCCGAATTTTCTCCGAAAATAGAGAATATTCTAGTGTATTGTTGTGCATTATGTAAATCGTTTTCTTGCTACTTTCGAACATCTCTAGTCGCTCCCTCCTGTCCAAATAAGCTCAAACTAGGGAATTAAAGTCGTTTTGTAGGTTGATTGAAGTAATAAAAGGTGGGTTGGACCATGTCACTATGTTATTATTTATTGCTGGTGGAGGGTAGTTTTTTTTAGCTTTGTACACCTCTAGCCAAATGAAGCCAGGAAGATAACATCTTGTATGAACATGGAGTTATAGTATCAAGGATATACATTTCTAGGATTTTAACTTTCAACGCCCACCTCTAACATCTGTATGATCGATTTTTACATTTTTTTTTTTAAATTAGTGAAATCGTAGTAGATACCTATAAACAATAGTATGGAGTTGTAATATTATAGTAATATTAGGTTAATCGGTTATTTATAATTTTGAAAGAATATCAATTCTTTTATACAAAATATTTATGGGGAAATAATTCCATATAGTGTCGGAACTCTGTTGCTAGCGGGATTTTTTTTTTCAACACGAATCGATCATTTTATCATAGCCGTTTTTTTCTTTATAAATCATTTTAAACAAAATTTGAAATACCTACCTAATTATAAAAAAACGGGGCATTTTACAACAAAAAAAAAATAATAATTTTTTACTATTTTATATGAGATTTGTTTTTAGACGTAGGTAATTTTATTATCAATCGTAAATATATAACAGTATAGGATAGACTATTAGGTAAGAATAAAGTTGAATTTGACATTTACCATATACAATACATATTCACAGTCATGTATTACTAAAATAATCCGCGGGTATACGCCTTATTCACGTATATATATGTGAAGATCTAAATGTAGGGTCCAGAAGAAGCTTATGGTTTTACAAAGATATTGATTTACTTATTTGTTTTTTTATCGATGAGCAACTTTTCTACCAGAAATCTTGCTCCGATTTACAATGATAGCATTTTTTCTGAAAGTAAATTGGACTGGGGAGGTACTTAGGGAGGTCATTTTTTGATTTTCTCATCAAATGTGAAAAACCGAAAATACGGCGCAAAAACAGGAAAATGTACGAAATATATTAAATAAATGGATATATTACATTTGAATGAACACGATTGAATATATTATAATAATATATATTGTTACAGTAATAATGTTACCTACTTAATGATGTTTTTAATAATTTTTAAAATTTTACTTTAAACAGATACCTAATCAATTTCTAAAATGTTTTAATTATAATATTAAATCAGAATAATAATACAATTTTTTTTAAAACAAAAATTTCCTAATTAACTTAAAATTAAAAAGTATTTTGTATTTTCAATATCCAAATTTAATGTATATTGTATTTTGTTTTTGAAATACACAAAGTGATTTACTATATCTATCCCTGTATACAAAACTGTAATTCCGACAATCATGAAAAAAACTAAAATAAAAAGTACCTAATTCTATTACGAACTGGTTAAGACGTAAATACATGACTATAAACTTATAAATGTAGCGGGAAAATTGGAAAAATGGGGTCCTCGAAAATTTGACTATAATTTAAATTATTTAAGAACTCGGTGATTTGTTTTCCCTCTGAAACAAACTGGACTGGCCCAGTGGTTAACTACTTGAGGATAGTGGACCGGTGTCCTTGGTTAAGTTATGGGCCGGTGCCAATAAAAGGTCATGATGGACTATAGAAAACAATGAGACAAAAACCACTCACATTTATATTTATTTTTAATACAAAAATAGAAACAAATATATATTTATATTTCATACATGATTGGTGGTGCAGTGGTTAGATTATAGGTTAAAGATCGATTGGTCCTAGTTCAAATCCTAAAACTGTCAGAAAAAGTTGGAATTTTTTCCAGTTATAGTTGTAATGTTTCCTCTAAATTTTATATTACAATGCAACGTTTAGTTAAATCTTAAATGTTGACCCATACAATGTTTGTTGAAAGGTTTCTGAACTTTTATAATACCTGTAATCAAATTTAATGAGTATTAAAGGTTTAAACAAATGTTAAACATTTCTTTTTAAAGTTTTAATAATTATTTAATCAATGTTAACATGTTTATTGGGTACCTAATATACTTACTCGTATTTAAGTAACATGCTAAAAATAGGTACCTGCTTAAACAGCAAAAATTGAATTAAGCTGCCTTTATATCTGGGATAGTGGGCTTGCGCTAAATTTTTGTATTTTTAGCCAAAACGACGATTCTCAAATACAAAATTTTCATCCCCTCTTCCCCAACGGCATTTGAACCTTTATACATGCATTTATTATAGACATTCGGTATACTATATAAAATAAATATTATATTTTGTAAATATAATGTATTTCGAAAATCAGCCGATATAAAATAAAATAAAGTCTATATCTACTCTAAATCACTCATCTTGTTTCCTTTATTTCTAGATATACCTAATAATTGGTATACTGCATACCTACGATTACCACTACCTAGATATCACTGCAATATTTTAAACGTGGCGAAAAATAACACAAACTTTTAAGGTATGCAGTTTCATTTAAAATTAGTTTTAGTTTCTGAGTGAAGCGAGGATTGACGAATGTATTAGTTTTATTATTATAATATGTGTATTTATTGAGTTTGTAAACAACTTTTCTACCAGAAATATTATACAAATCAAGAACTTTTTATTAACTTTCTGGTAGGATTTTTGATCTAGTTGATTAATTAGATCTATGTAGGTCATTTTTCGATTTTCACTAATGTAGTTTTTTTTTTTTTAATTCAATAATTTTTCGTATAATTTTTGTTAAGTTCTGGAACAACCTGACAATTAGGGAAAAATTACGACCCGTAATACTCTGCTTCGAATCGTTTTTTGTTAGCAATGGTTTATCGTTACGTTATTGAAATACAAATTGAATTGTTTTATATATTCGCCCTTCCGATAATATCGGTCATTTTTTCATGGTAATGTCAATTTGTATTAGACGCTAGACCGAACGGTCTGATAATATTAAAATTTCAGTCAGGAAACGGTTATGCCGGAGCCAGGAAGTAGTCCAAGGCTTCCAGCATAACTTTTAAAAACTTAATAAATACCTGCAACGTCGAAAACTAAAAATGTTTTCATGTCCATAAGTACCTATAGGAAAATCAAATTAAAAAGAAAAACAAGTATAAAACATTTATTTTTATTTTCGTTTGTACGTACAATTAGGGTATACAAAATGGAACGGCCCCGGGCCGCTGTTTTTAATAATCCAGTTCCGAGTGATGCTGTTATGGGTGTGTAATAAAACAGTCCGACCGTTGGAGATCATACCCACCAGCATTATTACCAAACAAAACCTAACAGCGGGACAATGGAACAGTCTGTTGACGATGACTGTTCGATTATAAACGTATTGGACTTGGCGGCGCCGCCGTCCGGTCAGACCGCCGGACAACCGTCGACGTCGGCAGACAGCAGGACGTTGACGGCGCGTCGAGCGTGCAAATCGATGACGCTCGAAGAAGCGGACGTCATGACCGCCCGAAAACGTTTCGCCGAAATGACAGCGAATTCGCGCTATCGCTGGTCGGACGATTCGTCCAACTGCCACGAAAACGGGAGCCATTGCTGGCCTGACGACGTGTCCAACGCTACCGCCGAAGACGGGAGCCGTCGCTGGCCGGACGACGTGTCCAACGCTACCGCCAAGGACGGGAGCCGTCGCTGGACGAACAGCTCCAACGTCGCCGCCGAGGACGGGCGCAATCACGGATCATCCGCCGCCGAATACGGGCCCTATCGTTGGTCGGACGATTTCAACGCCGATTACAGACGGTACCGCTGGTCAGACGAGTTCAACCCGAAGTCCACGGACAGCACCGAGGCGTCGACCGTGGACTTCGACACGGCATCGTCGGTGGCGGTAGACGCGCCCGCGACATTGACCGCACACGTGGCGCCCTCGTCGGCGGTACAATTCACCAATGCCCACACTCCGGGCGTCCGCCCGAACACGCGTTTGGTCGGGGCGTCGGCGATGTTAGCGGCGGCGTCGGCGTTCACCTTCGCTCCGGCGGAATTGCACGGAGCGCTAAACGAAAACGACTTCGGCCACCCGCATACTCCGCCCAGTGACGTCCCTGGATCCACGAACCGGACGCAAAGGGACAATAATAAAGACGGTCCTTCGATATGGACGAGGTCCAAAGAATGCGTCACTAACTGTTTTGTCAACGCGATCAGGCGAGTGTGCTTTTGCGAGTGGTGATCGCTAACCGCGATTTCAGTGGACTACGTATGCAACAATCAATGTATAGGTACTTCGTATGTATATGTGTTCGAAATTTCCGCCCGATTGCATCGGGATCGGCTGCCGCGCCCTGCATTACATTCATTTCCCCCTGTATGCTATGCAAATGCGTCTCAAAAAAATGTACCAAATATTATTATACTCTGCAGTTGGCTACGGATTCGTTGTCCGACTCACCGTAAACCCTCCATAATATATACCCACCTACAATACCTATGTTCGTAATTGACATTCAATAATTATGAATGCTACTGCCCTTGTCCCTCCACATAGAAAAGTATATATAAAAAAAAAAACATGTAAGTATTGTGTAAAAACAAAGAAAACATAGGTAAGCCATGTCTGTTACTTCTAAAATTCGATACCTGTTAAGAAAAAAAATATAAAAAACCGTTTCTTAATTTTCGGTTCGCAAATAAGGGCTGCGATGAATATATATGTTTTGATAATTAAGGTTTTTCAAGTGATTTGGTCGCAGTGTCGGATACAGAGATGGGGGGGTCTCGCCCCGCAGACTATAGACTGTAAAAATGGTTTTACTTTCACAAATAATTGTTTTACGCATATGCGTAAAAGCTATAATGGTATAAGTCACATTAATGCTAAATTTAAAAAAACAGCATACAAATATTGTGCTGCCATCTAGTTGTAATGATTGTTAGTTACGATTTTAATAAACGCGTGAATCAATTTTAACGAAAACTGTGGCTAACCCTTCATAAAATAAAAGATTTTCAAGGAAAAGCAGATCGATGAATCTATTGATTGTACTAGGTTTCTTTTTTTGTTTTCTCAGTCTGTGAACAAATTTTTATCAGGAATCGTATTCCAACCAAAAAATTAGTTAGCAATGGTTTATCCATTGCTTATGTGTGTCCTATCTTCTCAATTTTCCACTTATAACAGTGGCTGCACTCATCCCCAGTTTCAATTTTTTTTTGCTTAGTATTAATTGTTTTTAAGAGGCTCCCTCTTCACAAAATTCAACTCTGAAACTGCCACAATTTGTTCGAAACACTCGCGTTCGGGTAAAAATAACGCGATAGATTTAACAAATAGGTAGATAAGTCCAATGTTGTAACGAAGCGAGAAAATATATAGCGGAGTCGCACAGTGGAATGAAACTCATTCCTAGCTTGCCGAAAGTCAATTTTTGAAGTGTTTTTCATTCGTCAATTATCATAAATTATTTTTCCCTACTACATTTGTAATATATTTCTAGTCTCTATAATAATTTAGAGTAACATATCCACGAATTACACGAACTTGACTGCCTAATATTATACACATTTGCTTAATATTTAATTTGATAATAAGCAACTTTGATGTTTATTTTTAAGAATTTATCCCACTGCAATCAATTTAATTTTACTATATTATAATTTAATTATATATTTAATCAATTTAAATATATTTTTGTGTATAAATTATGTTTGTATTTTTTTTTTCTTTTAGAATTAAATAATTATAATTTATGAAAATTATACATATTACATTTTTAATAGGCTGTAAATTAAATTTAACTCATTTTAACACTATCAGACCTATGTTAGTTCAAAACTAATGTTCTCACATTTAAAATGAAATAGAATTATTTTTTCACCTATCTGCCCCTCTTAATTTGAGAGGCTTTTTTTAAAAATATTCATGATGTATAGCACAAATAAAATTTGTGTTACTTTTCAAAATTTTTGTGCGATGAATCAAGAATTTGAAGGTTTGTATACATTTAATTATAAATATACATGGCAGGTATTTTAAAATGATAATTTATTTTAGCCGGTACAAGTCATGATTACACATATGAAGACTTATTTAATTTTTTGCGTAAATTTAAACGCACAAAATATTACTTCTAGAACAATTTTACTGGATATTATTAAAATTAAGTATGAAGGTGATAAATGAGATGGAGAATACGAGAAAATTGTTAAAGATAAAGTATTAAGTTTTTCTGTAGTTTTATAAAAAAAAAAAAAAATGGGCTACAAGTTAATAGAAATGTAAATAAATTCATTGAAAATATTCTAATTGACTTCAAATAAAGGTACCTCCTCTACATCGCCCTTATGGGCTCCTATAAAAAGATCATACCAATTACACAATGAATGCAACATTTGAGTTTAGAGGTCCTATAAACATGTAAATTGATGTAAAATATAATTGTTCTAAAAATACCCTCTAATACCCCCTCAATTAGGGTCCAAATTAAAACAGTGATGCGAAATTTGGATTCAGCATCCTTAAAAATGATTGATTTGAATGTCTCGCACAATCTTATGTAATATACTTTTAGAGTAATTTATTTATGTACGCTAGAAATGGATTTCATGCCACTGCGAGTAGGTGGTAAATACGGAGGGCAATCGATAAAAAAAACCAAGGAAAAGAGAACAAAATTGTTTTGAGCGATTCGTCTATATGTATCTGCCGTTCGCGTAAGTCGCATCAAAGTATGTTACTATAATAAATCAATAGCATCATTACACGCGCGTTATACTTTGCAAACAATCCATGTCGCCATTTACGTCAGTTATAGATAAGCTATAATGGGTATATCATTTGTTAGTGTGCACAAAAAGTTCAGTCACGTCTATATTAAACATTTTCTAAACCCAACTCTTGAGTTTTCCCACGTATAATATGATTGTATTTTCCGAGTCGTCCGTTAAAAACAACCTGTAACTGTTATTAATATGATCACTTAACCACAAATCACACTCAATTAAAACAAAATAAAAACATTAGGTACAGATACCGAGTGTAAAGATATAAATTGAATAATTATTATGTACCCTACCTTCCCAACTCCCCACTTACAACAGTGGCACACCCGTTAGCTGATATTAACCGGTTTTTGTTCTTTGACATTTTTTCTTTTGGTTTTTTTTTTTTTCCTAATTTAACCTCAAGGTTAACCTAAGTTAACCTTTATTGCTGGGTTTTGCTGTAATATTATACAAAAACGTTTATAACAGTGACGGTCGAGTATTATTATACCTAATCGCATAATGTTCGGTTTTTTTTAAATGTATTTTCCGAAAATCCAGGGAGCAGCAAATGCGCTCTTTCTTGTCCCCATCTGAACGCCTATATTATACGGCTACTGTCAAAATTATATTTTTCGACTTATACAGAATATTGCACCCATAATTGGCTATGTACAAGGTCCCAATAAACAAAAAACCAAATTATATTTGAATTGTTTCTGTGGCGATATATTTCTGTACCAATTAGAGCAATAATATACAACATGAAATACGAAGATCACCCGAATTCAGTTATTTTCTATTCAATATTTTTATCAATATTAGTATGCCTCTGCATCACAGTTAAATGACAAGGATAAAACATCCAACAAACATCCTTGTCATTTGGTATGTTCTGCAGACTAGGTACTGATTAAACATTGTAACAAACTAAGCAAAATAATATTCATATCTTCGGTAAGTTCAACAAATTGTAAAAAACAAATGACCAAACCTAAATAAAAGTTTTAACCGCCAACATTTTTGTTTTTTTTTTTTAAGTATGGATAGTAATATTTCTAAATCTTACACTTCTCCCAACAAAAAAAAACCTAATCATATTAGTAAAATATAGGCATACTAATTATTTAAACAAAATAATTTAGTAAAAATATTGAATAAAGAAAAAATTACTTCAGGTGTCACATGATCTTTGCGTTACACCCTGTATCAATATCTACCTGTATACCGTAACTATTTTTATTTTATTTATCCAAATGGTAACACCAAACGTGGCCTATATTACAAGGTATTATTTAATTGTTTTGCGCTCCTTAAACACAAATCTATTTTGACAATCTTATTCTAGTTAATATGTTATAGTATAATATTCTAGTTTGAAACATAATGCATCAATTATCGGTGATAACATTTTCGAAAAACATAATAAAATTTATTTTTTATCATGACGTTATCCGAAAAATAAAATTAGATTTCTTAAACGTTCTTTGGGCTTAAGTGTTTACGTAAAGTATTTAGATTCTGTAAATGCAGCCCAATTGGAGTAAAATGTTTGCTCTAAAAATCCTCCATTATGACTGACCCAATATCATACACTTTTACATCAAGACATAAAATATAGTCTTTTTAAGTATAAATAAAAACTGGTTAACTGATTAGCACCTTTTTTTTTTTTTTTTTTTTTCTAAAAAAAAAACCATCTTTTAATACAGTAGAAAAATTCAATATCGAAAAATAACAAAACGTGTGTATAAAAAAATGTAGGTGTTAACAAATTTCCTGTGCTGTTTATTGTACACTTAAATCTTAAAAAACAAAACAAAATACATAGATTTTGATGGTTTTATGGACAAAAATTAAAATATTTAAACTGTTGGTCATCAGATAGCCTTATTTTCAGCCATAAACTCATTAATGTGTACGTCATTAACTTACATATAAAATAATACATCTGTGATTAGTAGTAATTATTCATGACTAGAAACCGATAAAAGTTTAACTAAATTTCCTTTTTTTTTTCTTTATTACTTGATATTAACAATTTTTTTGCTAATTTTAAATTAGTAAATTTGAATTATTAACTATGAATTTCATTTATATGTCATAAACAAATAAATAAATGAAAATAAATTTTCAATTTAAACAAGATTTATGAAAAATGTAAAATAAATTATAAAAGAAAAGAATAACATCAACACTTGAAAAAAGCACTACAAATCTGAAACGCTTTCAAATATGTAAAATAAAATTGTAGGAATCTCTGATGTATAAAACTGATACATAGCTCGCTCACTCTGCTATTTTTATCTGTATCCTATAATAATTAGCAAATGTTACTAAATATGAGCACTGCTCATATCACTTCATATTTTTCATATTTTACATGTGGTTAGGTATTGTAAGTGGTCTACTGGTTTTACCAAATAGTCTAACTGTACACCAAACAAATAAAATGGTTAGTTAGTATCGACAAAAAGTAGATGGTATTAAATAAATTGACTTCAATTAGATTTTAATTAATTTAAATAGTTCCCGTCGAGCTTATGGCACTTCTAGAAGCATATCGGCTCGAAACACACATCAATCTAGCACTGACCAATTTATATATAGATGAATTTAAATACAAAATTGATTGTACACTATATTCTAACATTTTTCAATGACAAATAATATTTTAAACATTTCAAAAATGTTTTAACATTAATTTTTAATCACATAACAGTTGAATATTAAAATTTTGTTTTAACTTTAAAGCATGAAATGTAAAAAAAAACACATATAAATATACGTGTAAAAAAAAATATTTTAATAATTAAATAAAAAAGTCAAAATAGTACCTATTTATTATCATTGTACTGAAATAATTTAGTTCCACCATGTGGTTCCACTTAGAATTATTTTTCCTATTGAATTATAATCAAATTAAAAACAGTGTTTATCAAAATTACCAAAACTAAATGAATATATTTTTTTAACATACAATATTATTTAGTTTTAAACAAGGATTGTACTATAAAGTACTTGTCCTGTGTAAAAATAATGGAGAGCTCATGGAAAAATTGATTAATATCATAATATACAAATATGTTTTATAATTATATTATTATAGCTAAAATACTAAATGTATACAATTGATATTTATTGTTTTTATTATAATATATATATATATATATATAAGTAAAATTATTTTATGTATAAATTTAAAAATATAATAATCGTATATAGTTATTAAATATATAATATTAAATAGGTTCAGGACATTATTATGGAGTATAATAAAAAGATCATATTTATTTTCATATATATTTTCATTAGAAATTAAATTTAGTATAAGATATTGATATTATGTTTCTTATAAGTTGTCTTTGTATACAATTAAAAAAAAAAAAAATGTTTAAGCACTTGTACTTGCCCAACTTCACACGCAAAATAAAAATAAATCATATTATTAGCGAGTAAATTTAAGAATTAATTATTTAGAATATTATTGTCATTAATAAAGTAATAAAATTATATACATAAATATATTATTTTTTATAAAAACGTATAAAAATATTATTGAACTCAACATTTTTTTTTCATAGAAATTATAAATCCAGTCTTAGTAAAAAAAAAAATGTAATTCAAATTTGAAAATATTGTACATTGTTTCAAAATGTAAATATAAATATGTTACAAAAGATAATATTAACTTTATATTATAAAGTTTAAATTATAATTCATATTCTACTAATAATTATCATACGCAATTGATTATTATTAAATGTTAGAATAATTCAATCATTCTCTTGCTTATTATTAAAAATCACGAACTCATAAGGAAACAAATCAATTACAAATTTCATACAATATATAATAATGTATTTAGGTTTATCAATATATTTTATCGTATAGTTTGTATATTTTATATAAAACAAATTAAGCAGAACACGACATATTATGTTAATGAAATTACTACAGTTATTTAATATTTAGATACCTAAAACAATTTCAATTACTATTTCAAGATCATGTATATTTTTGAAATTAAATACAATACAAAACACAGCATATTGATTCGATACTGAATTACTATTTAATATAAATATAAATATTACATATTATTAGTCTATGTGTAAATATACACAAAAATTGTGTTCGTTTTAAAAATCAAAATTAATTCAGACAATCACATGTAAAACATCACAATTCAGTTAATACGTATTTGGTATTTGATTAAAAAAAAAAAAAAAAAAAACAAAAAATATTTAGAAAAGGAACTAACTATATTAACTAAAAAAGGGAGAAACAAATAATATCAAAACAAATTACGGTTTTGCGATTAATATTACATTCAAGTAAATCGTCAAAACTCAGGAACAACAGAAAAAAAAATAGAACTTAAAATAATATTTTATACTAAACCAAATACTTTAGAATATTAAAATTCATGTATACAATTGAAATCAATAAAAAAAAAAATATATATTTTTGAAGGACTAAAAAGTATTTTAAAATGTAAGAAAAATATTTACCAAACCAAAATATACAAAAATACACTTATACATTTTTATTTTTCAAAAATTAGTAATTGACTCATATGTTTTATTATTAATGCATATAAATAAATATTTTGCTAGTATACTTTTTAGAGGCAAACATGTCTTATTATTATTATTATGCTTAAATATGAAATGCATTTATATCCATAATCAGTTCAAAACTAGGTAACTTAATATTTAAGATAATATTTTTATTTTTATTTTTTTTTTAATAGCAACGACTATTTTATGTAAGTCAAAATGAATTGATAATTAAATAATAATAATGATAATAAAAAAAAGAAAAAAAAAAAGAGTCATTCACAAACCTCCGTTACTCACAGTTGATGGCACAAAAAATGTTTTGGCTTTTGATAAAAGTTGCTATTGTTATTGTGATGTGTGCATTAACAATTTACTTCAGTCGATTTCAACGGTTGCATTCCTAAAAAAATGTTTAAGGTTAGAAATTTTTATATTGTTACAGTCAAGTGGAATTATTTGTTTATTATTTATTTATTACAAATTAATACTATTAATGAAAATTATATTTTAAAATAAACTTTTTATACCCATGAATTGAGGATAAACAGGATAAGCACCCGGGGGTAAGTGATGAGTAACTTCTTTTTTAGGTGTATTTTCTTCCTCAGATTCATTAGGCAAAGAAACAGCAGCGATCATATTGGCATTATCATTTGATTCTTCTATTTCAAATAAATTAGAATACATAATTAATGGAAAATATTAAGCATATTATGCATGCATATAAGTTTAGTTTTACTTAATTTAAATGTGTATGTTAATAATATATTATAATTTACTACATAAAAATTAATTGACATTGAATTAACAATAGGATTAAAGTATTTTTTTTTTATTTCTAAACAACATATATTATATTTAAACAAAAATTTTGCATAATTTTTTACAATTTCTTTCATTCATTAACAAATGTCATGGTAAACAACAATTAATTTCATATTTGTTTAAAACTAAATTGACTTTAATTCTGTATACACCGCACACTTATTACAAGAATTATTATTATAACAGGTATTCAGAAATATTACGTAGACACAAATATTTGTTGAATATTTTAACAATTAGTCAGTAATAATGTAAGTATTCTACAGTAATATTGTTTAGTTTCAATGATGAAATTACTTATTTCCGTGTCATATAATTTCAGATAATCACTTAATTTATTATTTTAATTAAATTAATTGAGAACTGTGAAAACACTAAAATAATATATTTGATACTATTGATTCTAAAGAGTATATTAAATAAACTTATATACTTAATGGGTAAATAAACATAATTTATATACTTGTATAACTACCTACTCATAAATACTTGTATTTATAATCAATAAGAATTTGGACATTTGCCTCCTAGAAATAAAATAATAGGACTTTTGCCCTGAAATTTTTTAAATTATTATTTAATGTTCTAGCGTATACAATATAATAGGTATATAATATATTTATAATTACACTTGTAATTTTTCACAGTTTGAAATGTTGAACAAAACAGAATTAAAATTAGTTTGTACAAGGTTAAATAATTAGACAAAAAAAATTTAGGTACAACACAAAATTATATAATAAATTATACTTGTAAAATGAACAATTCAAATTTTATAATTATTATACTATTCCAATTCAAGTACATAACTAGTTCATACCAATAAAATATGCTAGTGAGAAATTTCCTACGCACTTTTAATTTATATGGAAAAAACAGATATATAAGGTGATACTGTAAAAAATGTGGTTTTTTTTTTCAAATACCAATGAAACAATAATTTAAATTAATTTAATTTCGGTTTTTTCTTTTAATCATATTTTTTTTTTTACTGCACTAATCTTTGTTTAAAATTTAATTTATAATAACTCTGCTAATAAAATAAAATTTGATACCCAATTACAAATATATATAAAATAATGTTAAATATTAAACCGTGATAAAAGACAACAAGTTCTAGGAATAATATTAAGTGATAGCTCTACTATATTTTTTAAAAAACTGTATTTATATACAGTATGCAACTTAAATATTAATGATAAAATAATGATTTATGCTGATAACACATGTTTTTTATTTTTGGGATACTTATTTATTTAAATAAATAAATAATAGTATTATCTTTAAATTCATTAAAAATTAATTTAATTTCAGTCTACCAAAGAGTTATAAAAAAATTAAACTTAACATATAAATGTCAAGTAAAAGAGACTAACTATAAATAATATTAAATCAATGTTTATAAAGTTTTCAATAAACAAGTGTATTAACTAAAATAGCCTATTATTGATTCTTAACTTAAAATTTAAAGTGTATCTGAAAATTGACCAATTATAGACATGTTTTATTTAGGAATTAGATTTGATAACAATTTAAGGTGAAAGCTGTACATTAACAATTTAGTTGGAAAGTTATATTCCATGAGCTATAATTTGTTAAATTGAAAAACAAAGACTTGCTACTAGTTGAAATTGTACATAAAATATTTGAATCATCAATCGTTTATATCAATCTATTTTTCAGTCTCCTAGTGACGAGTGGTGTTTAAGACAATATTTTTTAAATTATTGCAAATTAATCAAAATAATATATTAAGAGTAATTTTAAATAATAATCATTTGAAGGATCAACACAAAAAAAAATTGCAATATTATTTATTAAAATTATGAACCAAAGGATATAATTATTACTATATACCAGAAAGTCTATTGTTGATCGTCTAAGTTCAAACTGTTTTAATCAAATGTCAACTAATTATGTATAAAATAAATAGTTTATTAGAGGCAATCTTCAAATCTATTTATTTTTTAAATATTTATTAAGATATTAATCTTATTAATTTACCCTTAGTTTTAACTAAACTCGTTTTTGTTATAAACTATTCATGCGTGCAGTGTTAATTTGATATATTTTATCTCAGTATACAATTAATCTAAATAACATGTCTACTGACTAATTTATATAAAAAAGAGATAAACAAAAACTATTGTTCTTGCTAAGAATTTGTTTTGTATTAAATGAATACATGCATATATATTTAATCCAACCTACTACCAAAACGGATGTTGTTATCATTTAATAGATAAAATTTAATTAAATAGGTAGGCAGATTAGGTATAAAATGTAGTAAAAAATTAATAATAATCAATATATACTTTAATATTTATATTTAATATAATAACTATGCATCAAATTATACACTTGAACTCTATATATAAACTTTAATTATCAATGTATCAATGTTCATAAAAGTAAGATTTACGTTAAATAAATATTATCATTAATTATTCATATGGCACATTAATAATAATAATTACCAGTACCTGAGCATAAAATGTACTGATGAGATGCATGTAATAGTAATTTATTATAACATTAAAAAAAAAGATATAAAAAATTACTTGAAACAATAAATAATTGTAAGTTATTTCCCTGAAACTTATTAAAAAAAAAATTGAACTACCTAATACCTATTAGGGGATAGGGAGTCATGTTGATTTTACTTTATTAAATTTGAATATTTTTTAAAATAGCAATACATACTATATGTTGGACGGAGACGTCTCATCATGCAATAACAAGGAATACATATACAAATAACACAGCACGTCAATACCAAGCCGACAATCAGAATCAGAAGTATTAATATACCAGGCATGTTTTTCTGAAATCTTTGAACATAATAAATTACATTAATATAAATATTGTTAGGTAACTTAAATATATATTTTATATTTTTATTTGGGCCACAAAATAAATGAATAAAGTATTTACATATTATACAGGTAGCTAATGGTGTTGCAGCATTCAACATTATCTTTTGGGTCGTAACAACAAAATTTAGCATCTTGATCATTTGGGCACGTCAATACAACTAATCTATTAATAACACCTTCTGATATGTTTTTTATCGTACAGTTTTCACCTAAAAAAAAATATTGTAGACATACGTAATAATGCGAAATATTACGCCCATTGTAAACAACTTACTCTGAACTAAAGCAAACAATTTCATTATAGACGCGAAACACAATATCCTTTTGACTGGGCTCATGATGAAAGGGATCGAAGGTTAATAACTATCAACAACAATTTATTAAATCAAACAAGATAACTAATAAATGTTATTACGAATGAAAAGATAATGAAAACGATTCATGTCTTATTAAAAAAACAATAATTATAAATAAACGATTATTAAGACCAATTATTGTAATTCGCGATAGTCATAGAAAAATAGCTTGGGTAGAGTGAATAGTGAATACAGACTGGTGAACGCCAGACGATGAATGTAATTGATATTATATATATGTAGGTGTGTTGTTTAGATATTTTGTGGGCGAAGGAATAAAGAGGGTGAACAAACACAAAGAGGTTATATACACAAAAAGTTTATAAATATCTTTGAAAATATATTTCTTTCGCGGTCGTCATAATATAACAAGTGACGGTCACAGATAAACCATAAATAATAAATAATATATATTTTATCTATGAGATAAACAGATTGAGGCAGAAACTAGACAAGTTTTATGGATAATACTATATAACACATAGATATATATAATAAACTAGATTGCTTACTAGTGATAACATGAGAAATTTCGTTCCGCCATTTAATTTAAAACCAGAACTATATTATCAATTGATAATTTTTAATCTCACTATCACAATATTATTCACGACTACTTATTGGTTTTTGGTTTTTTTTTTCACTTTTTTGAAATTTATACTCCTTTTTTTTTTCTTTATATTCTTTCATTTTATTTTATTATATTCAGTCGCTTTTTAAATTTTGACTGTGATTGACTGTGATGTTTTGACCTGATGATAAATTTTTAATTCGAAACCGGTCGTATTATGTACTTATCATAATATTCCCGGCGACACATTTATTAATTTATTAATTTTTTTATTTATATTTAAGTATTTACTACAATAAATAATAGATATTGTGATCTCAGTATAAATAAGATAAACTATGGAAATGTGTGGTTTCCATGGATTATGGATATAAAAAAATATGTATTTGTAAATACAACAAAAAATAACAAATAAATAATATGATATTATATATTAATTTGTGTACATTGTTTTATTTTAATCAACAAGCAAGCAACTGACAAACGTACAAAAACAATTTTGTTTTAAAACCTGTGATTTATTTTGTTATTTTTACAATTATTCATCATTATTTTAATCAATTTATTATAAAAGTACCTACCGATAATGAATATTTTTTGATTATTATTTATTGATGTACAAAAATGACGACCGTTTTAATAAAACGTAAAACTTAATTAAATTTAAGATGTAAAACTAAAAATAACAATTTATAATATATATATATATAAATATTATATTATTCATAAACATTGGTGACATAATCTTGATTATGATAATAATTAATTTAAAAAGTAATATTATTTTATTTTGTTTATTACTAAAACAAATGGACCATATTAACGTGACGTCAAAGAGCATTCAGCATAATGATAATGACGGTTCCAGACAAAACCTTATTACGATTCAGTCTATAAGAAAAGCATGGACATGAAATCAAAATTTTTTTATATATAAGTTTATTTTTTAAAATTATATCTATTAAAGATTTATTTTTTACATGTTTTTAGTTATATTTGTAAACCTAAATGTTGTTTTAACATGCTTTTTCGCTTCAATTTTTTTTATCAAATCAGGTTTACAGTTCAAACGGTTCAACCAATAAGAAATGACTATAAATAAATTTATAGTTTTCACCTTGGCTTTTTGTTTTAAAAAAAAATTTTATAATATATACGATTTTACTAATTCTTAAAATGGTTCAATGCTGGGCACCTTTATGTAGTCATTGCTCTGAAAGGACTAATGTACATTTTTTTCGGTTTAAAGCCAACTATAAAAAAATAGCGATTTTGGTCTAAAACTATAAGGTACAATTATTTAGTAGGTACTTAACAGTTAACACTTAATAACATTTCTTTTGACTATATCAACTTGTCTTATTACTAATTTTATTGTTTTATAGAAGAGATTATGCATTCCCAGCGAAAAATAATAAACTAGGTAGGTAGTTGTCACTTTATTAACGGAGCCTAGAAAATGGTCCCTCTATTTTTGGATTGATTGTTAATCAGTATTTGGATTTTAAGTCTCCAAGAAAAAGAGCTGATACTGGGGATGGGAGAGACCACCGGTGTAGGTGAGAGGTTGGAAAGGTAAGATACATAATGTTATTTCATTTATACCCGTAAGCAACAATAAACCATTGCTTGATGAAAGACGATTCCGAGCGCAGTTCGGTATTACATAATTTAAAGTGTAGTAATACTTTTGCGATTTTTATTTAAATTTAATTTCAAAACGCTTATTAAAAAAAATAAAATTCTTACGATAATTTTGGAAATTGTACCACGTCTACCTAGGTAGGTCCAATATAAGTATTATTAACAAGTTTCAAGTCTACGCGTATTTATAACCGAATTACAGCAAAAAAACTTCCCAAAATTAAAATTCCTTATAAGCACAAAAGTTTTGGCGATGATACCGTTAGAAATTGAATCAAAAGGCAACAAAAATGGCATTTTGTAATTTTTCGATTAAATCATTTTTTCTGGTAGAAAACGTCGTCCTTGTTTTTATAAAGTAATGAAATTGTACGTTTTCCCACTTATGTGCTTTTAATACAAAAATGGCGTCGAAAATCAAAAAATGACTAGCTCCGCTCGGAATCTAAAAATATCAGTGTTTTCATTTATTATGAGGTTTTAGGTTAGATTGTAAATGATCAAATGTCAAATATTAGTCAACCGCATCAATCTGATCGTGTACAGATCGCGGGATGGAAAAAACGTACATTAATACCGCTCTAAATTTATAGATCGTCATACATAATTGATAGAGGGCAGTACTAGTGTACGAGTACACTGTCCCATCAATAGCATGTAATATTACTCTGACGCTCCCATGGAACTATATTGTAACATAGTTATCAATTTAAGCGTAGCTACTATTGCTTAATATTATGGTTTTAATATTGTTCAAAGGTTGCATTATTAAGTAATGTATTACATGATATGGTCGTGGGCTGAATCAAAATATCAAGGTAATTAGTCAGCAGGCTTATCATTTAATTTTAAATTGATAGTAAATTACTACTTTTTCAATGTTATTATTTATTGTTACGCCCTGCCCTGTATATTCATAATTGGAATTTATTATTTATTTAATTAATTAATAAACAATGATCAAATTCTTTCATATAGTATAATAACGATAAAGAAATTAACTTTTTTATTTAAATATCACAACGTTGATAGAATTGTAAGAAGTAATTTTAACATTTTACTGTTAACATGAATTTAAAATTCTGTGCAAATTTATCGTTTATGTATCAAGAAACTAGTAGTCTTCTAGAGAGATATAGTTTGGCAGCTAAATCGGGATTTTCTTCAGTCGAATGTGCTTTTCCATACTCAGATTCTCTGGATAAACTGGTTCAAGCAAAAACTGATGCAAATGTTCAACAAATCTTGATAAATGTACCCAGAGGGGAAGAACATGAACTCGGTTTTGCAGCAATTCCAAACATGGAAAATCGTTTTTGTACATCTATTGATTTAGCTGTATCTTATGCTCAAGCATTGAACTGTACCAAGATTCATGTAATGGCAGGTACTGTTACTCAACCAACCGAAGCAAATCACAAAGCTTATTTGAAAAACTTAGCATATGCTGCCAACATTTTTGAAGCCAAAGGTATTATAGGTTTAATTGAACCAATTAATAAATATTCTGCTCCAGGTTATTATTTAAATTCTTATGAACAAGCTATTGATGTTTTAAACAAAATAAACAGTCCTAATTTAAAACTTCAATTAGACATTTTTCATTTACAACAAATCAAAGGAGATTTAACTCGGAATATTTCAAATTTACTTCCTTATACAGGGCATATTCAATTGGCTCAGGTTCCCAAGCGTAATGAACCAAATACTCCAGGTGAAATAGATTACAAGTATATTTTTCAACTATTGGAAGAACTTAATTATAGCGAATGGATCGGTTTGGAGTATAACCCTAAAGGTGACACAGATAAAGGTTTATTGTGGTTAAGAAATTTGAAAGAAACTGACAAATTTTAGTATCAAATATTTCAATTAATTAATAATACAGATATTTAAAAAATAAAAGTGGATTAATAATACAATTAAGTTTACTCAATAATCCAGAGCATATTTACACCAGATTTTCCAAGATTAACACTCTCCACCAATCCATTTTCAGTAGTTTTGATGTAATGGAGGAACAATAAAACAGTGTAGAAAAAATTATTACGACCCTGAAACAATGTTAAAAAAAATATACATTTACTAATACATTTTTGTAATTAGAGAATACATAAAAATATAATCATTTTGTAAGATTAAAAATTGTGTTTATGTTAAAAGTAAATATTAAAATTGTATGAAATTATTTAATTGTGGAAATTAATTACTTTTGGAAAATTATACGTTTCTTTGCCAATTTTTAAACAAAAATGAGGTGGAATATTTGATTGTTGATAGATAATAACTTGCTTATCAACTTGTTTTACTTTTTCTGGATATTTAATTAGATGTTGAACAGAAAATGGATTTTTTCCTTTTAAACGAGTTAATGGTGATAGTTGAGAGTCTAAATATGTAGCCAATAAATGCATTACTAACTAAAATGTATAAAATAATTTATAAATAATTAAACACATGAGTTTACATAATATAGAAAGTTCTTACAACTGCATCAGATGGTAATTCATTATTCCATTCTTTCCCTTTAAATGTTCCACCAGAATTCCACCGATACTCAGTTAAACAAGGTCCTTTAGCTAATTCTAAAACAATAATTCTAACAAAAAACTGAACTGAATCATAGAATTATATTAATTTGTTTACCTTTAATACGTTGAACTATGTATTCTTGATTTGAAGATATTTCAAGATACGGAATAATGTACAATAAACTTGGTATAGTTTGTGCGACTTGTACAGTATGTGCTGTTTTTTTTAGCCTTTCTAAACCAACATTTCCAATTGATACATCAACAAATCCTTGATTATATAAAGCACGATCAACATTTTCTATTTCTTTTATTAATCGAGATACAATTGTTTGAGAAATCCACTATGAAAATGCATTATATTTATTATAAATATAACTAAAATAAATCTTATATGACTAGTTTAACTTACAACTCTTAAATTAACAGACCACTTTTCAACAACATTACTATCAATTTTAAACTTACGCCATACTTCTGAAGCCATTGCTACAGTAGAACTACTCTCATTTAAATCAGATTTTGATTGTTCCGCTAAAATAAAAATAACAATGTATTATTAGGTTATAGATTATTACCACTTTATAAACTTACGTGATGATGCAATTTGGTATATGGAATTTTGAAGCATTGAAGAAACAGATGTGTTTGAACAACCTGAACGATCCCATAGTGACATACTTCTTTGTTCACATTCACGTTCTACCATTTTAAAATTTAATAGATACAGTAAATAATTAAATATTTAAAGAAACTAGAATTGGATGCTCTTATTATTTAGAAAATGGAAATAAATTACAAAATTAAAGTAGAAAAAGTAATAAAAGGATAATATCAATTTAGTTAGTGTATACTATTCAAAGATGTATTAATGATATTTACAAAAACATAATTTAATAATTATTACTCAAATAGATCAGCTTATTTTACATTTTTGCTTGCCAATTAACCAAAATGTATATAAAACAAAAGTGAATTGAAAATACATATTTTTTGCTGCATAATATATTGCATTTATTTAATTTAATTATAACTCTTGGACACATTGCCATATGACTTGTTTATATTGAATACTAAACAGTAAAAAAAATAATAAAAAATATTGATTACCTGTCACAGAAAAGCTATTTTTACTGTCATAATCTTTTAGATATTGTTCTAAGGCTGATAAGTCTTCTATAGTATCATCTGCAGAATTAGTCATGTATTTAATAATTCCATTTCTATTTTGTCGTTCTGGTCCAAAATTATCTAAAAATAATAAAATAAGCATACAATTAAAAATATAATTTTATTATCTATCAAAATTATTATAAAATATATGATTATGAAATATTAATTTATTATCTCCAGGGAGCTTAATGTTCAAAGACTAAGTTGGAATAAAATGATACATACTTTGTTTTTGAAATATTTATGTATATATTGTAAAAATAATACATAATGTTTTTGTAAGGTTTGTGATCATTAAATAAGATTAGAACACTTTAACTCTGCTAATTTAAAACATACCTATTTGTTTAAACTAATTTATAAAGTTGACTTATTTTTTAATCTAAATACACATCATAATGTATTTTGATAAACCTGGTATGACTGTATATAATATATTATAATGAAATAAACATTGATTTAAATCACACAATTCAATCCAAAATTAATATCTCACCAGGTGAAATTTTAAACTTTCGAATTTTTTGTTTGTTTGAAATCCAGTTAATTGGGGTACTTGTAGTCACAGGTGGTGTTACTGTATTTGATGATACATCTGGTGATTTAATTTTCATATAAGCTAAAAAACAGAAAATTAATTAATGTCATATAAATAAACAAAATTATATGCATACAGTTTGAAAATCCAAGTGTCTGAAATTGTTCTGGTCCTAAGTGTAAGGTATTAGTTGTCATCCATAATTTTGTAAGTAGCAATAAATGATATAGAAGACTGGATAATATTATTACTGATAACGTAGATTCAACTAACCGCCACCATGGAGTATACCAAGAATATGGCAAGACTAATCTAAAAAAAAAAAGTATTTTTCACAGCTCCCTTAATGTGTTATTATTATTTGCAAATGACAATAAATCAGTTAACAAGTAATAATTAATAAAAGAGTATTATGCCTACATACAAATTACAGAAAAAAATCAATATTCTACAATAGTATGATGGGCATTAGGTAACATTCTGTTTTATTTTGTTCAACGATTCAAAATATACAATTTAGTTTTCATATTTGAATCATATTAAATTTTTGATAATATGATTTATTTATGTTTTTAAAAAATCTCTTTAAATTGAATGAAAATAATATAATCAAATTATAATTTAAGTAAATTGACAAGAAAAAAATAAATCTATTGAAATTTCAATTTCAATAAATATTTCATATCATAATCTTATTTTAAATAGAATGATATTATAGAGGCTCGTTGATAAACTAAATGTAAAATTAATAAAAGTTGTTAACTAAATAATAAATAATACGCAAAATAAATTTTTTTTTTTTCTGCTTAGCAGTAATTTGTTTGAAAGGTCCCTCCCAAATCCGTTACTCCTTACATATACATTTTTCTTTTAATATACCAGGCGTCAAGTATAATATAAGTATTCCTTTAGTTACTCACATCAAAAAACTTTTCAGTGCTAGCAGCCAATTATTTGATGAACAATAGGGGTCTATGTCTAATAATATAATAATAATTTAAAGTAAATGGCTCTTTTGATATTAATATTTGTATAATCTATAGGTGTCTATTAATAATAGTATGTATTATTTTATTTCTTATTTTGTTAATTTTTATACATTGTTTATTTAGATAATTGATTATAAACAACTTCTTAATGGCAATAAATTAAAGTTAATATTTCAAACATTTAATTAAATGATCTATTCAATTTAATTAATTAATTATAACCAATAATTGAGTTACAAGTTTTCAAATATAAATTTTAAATTACAAAACAAAATCTAACTTTTAACATTTATTCTAAATTACGTTATTTTATTTCAACAATTTCTAAATTAGAAAATTAAGAAACCAACATATATTATAATTTTATTAGTTTTATATTAAATTAAATTAATTTTAACTATTTTAAAAAAAAAAAAATGACTTACTTTTAACAGATTTTACTTTCATATTTATATCAAGAAAAAAGTCAAAATCTAGGTTTAAATTTATATTCAATTTTAATATCTAAATAAAATAATGACTTACAAATCATATACGAGCATTGATAATATTAAGGCATTGATAGTGCCCCAAATGAAATGGTGTTTCATTCTTTTAACAGAAATTGTTAATTGAATGGCGTCTTTTACTAAATTGTTTTTTGATTGAAATCCTGAAGATGTCCTATAAAATTAACTTAGTATAACATAATATTAAACCTTTTATTTTTATTTATTTTAAATAATTCTTACCTCATGATTAAAAATAAAAATATAATTTATAGGTAGGTTTATAAATCAATATTTATAACAGAATTAATGAAATTACTATACTCAATGTAATTTATTGACCAACGATTCATCAAGAAAACTTAATTTGATCTTTAATATAAATGTTTAAAGAAGAAATGGTCATTTTTGGAATATTAAATCATAGATGTTGACAATTATTAATACCTAAATGGTAAACACAAAAACGTTAAACAGTTAATCCACGAATAGGATTATTCACAGGATTTTAAAATTTAATCATGTCACAACATATTAAAAATTATACAAATTAGAATTTAAGGTAAACATAAGATTCTATTAGTCCAACACATTTGCTAGTTAGTGGTATATTACCTTTTATCTACCATATTAAAATAAGTAAAATAGTGAATTTAACTTTTTTGAACATGCTTACAATACATAAAATTCAACTCATACCGGTCTTCAATATTTTATCTATAATTCGTTTCGTACTTCCTATACAACCAAATAAATAACAAACTCAAAAACAAAATCTTTTTCTTCCAAGATCATGGTATAAGATTATTTAAAATTAAACTGTGTTGCTAGGTATCATACTTAGATAATACACAAGTGTGTATTATCTATTAGCCATTATGTATTATATAGAGTAATAATTCGATAACATAGTACAATATAGCATAGATATATAAAATAACTAGGTAGCAAACTCTATATACTAGCTTGATAACAATTTAAAATTTTCAACCATTTACAAGTTAGGCAAAAATGATTGCAAAATAGGATATAATCGACATCGATGTAAGTATTATCGATTTTTATTTCGATTTTATGTTTATTATCTCATAATGGACTTAAGTAATAATAAGAATTACAACCATTAAATATCAATAATTCACTATCCTTTTTCTTCAACTCCAGACTTCAATAATAGATACGAGTTTGCTATCTAGGTACTTTATTTTTTTATGCAATATAGAGTTGTGAGCTAATGTCTATGGTTGAAGCACAATTGTTATATAAATTACAGGTTCACCACTTTTTATTAAAAAAATACTGTATAGCATATAGTACAATATTATATTATATAGATGTGATAAATGATAATACGTTTGCGATTACTGACAATTAATTTAATTCAAATTTTGTTTTAAAGATTATTTTAATTTCATTTTAACTTTATTCTTAAAGAATAAAAATGCCTAGCTGTATAGTTTGTGGGAGATCAGATAATGCAATAGCTAAAGCTACCGGTATTACTTTTCACAGGTATACTTTTTAAATCTGTAATTCTTTTTTAACAATAATTCTTTAAAAACTAATAAAATAAAAACCTTTTAAATTCATGTTTATTTCAGATTTCCGGCGAAAGAATCTACGAGAGTAAAATGGAACAACTTTTTACTAGTAAATGCTTTAAATCCTGAAAATGTGATTAAGACCAGCTTAGTGTGTTCGTTACATTTTGATAAATGTTGTTTTATATTACACAATAAAAAAAGAAAATTATTACAGAAACACGCTGTTCCATCCATAATTGTCGGTAGAATAAAATATGTAAGTATGTATTTCCAATTAACCTAACCAATAAATAATTAACTACTAATAAATAAACCAATATTTTTTTTTTATATACTCTACATAATATAAATTATTTTAGGCAAAACAAATTTACCCGGAAACATTAATGGCTCTTACTCAAGATGTGGAAATTGATTCTGTCAGTAATTCAATTGGCAGTACCTCTTCAACAAAAAATGCTTTAAGTTTTAACAGAAAATTAGTTAAGGTGAGTTTTTTTAATGTTACATTGGGTTATTTAAAGTTCTTTCTTTCATTTAAATTGTAATTTTTAGATTTCCAAAAGTGATTTAAAAGTTGATGGAGTGTCACTTTTGAATGAACCTATTACATCAAATACTTCTTGTACAACCAGTTCTATCATACCAATGACAAACAAAATAGAAACAATAGAAACCTCATTCATTGCCGCCAGTGAAGTGTCTAATGATGATACATCACGTCGAATGTTCTTGGAACATGGTATTCATCAGCTATCAAGGGAAATCAAAATACAAAATGAAAAGCTGAGGAGTCTTCAACAAGTTCTTAAACGTCAAAATAAAAAAATTGCCAATTTAACAACAATTATTGATGATCAAACCTACCAGAAATTAGTAATTCGAGCTAATGATGTACACAATTTGAATACAGAAAATTGTATTGAAGATATTTCAAGTACCGTTTCAGTTAACGTATTAAATAAAAATATCCATGGTTGTATTTCTGATAAAGTGAGTCAAGATGAAAATTTAATAGATGTAAATGCATTCATTATGGATCATGATTATATTGGTTGTCAAAGTGATTAGTGATTATTTTTTGTAAGTTAACAAAAAAAATTATAATCTATGTATCCATCAGGGTTTATATAGAACAAACCAAGTATCAAAAATACATTGTATGCCAAAAGGCTTTGAATTTGCTGGGCATATATGACGAGCAGACAACAAAATTATTAAGATTGTGCTGATAAGAATCTTATATGGAAAACAGCCACGTGAAAGGCGATGATTGGACAGGGTCATGAATGATATTAGAGACATTGATGAATCTAAAAAATTGGAAACTCAAAAAAATCAAGAAGATTGGAGAAGTTTAATTGAAGCTGCTAAGATCCTAAAAGGCTTATAAAGCAAAAATAATAGAAATATTAGTATCATGATTTTGAGTTCATAAACTCACTAATAATACTCTTAAATGTAATATATGCAAAGATACTTTATGTTCAGCTTAAAAATACTATTTTTCAAACTCCATTATTACATTAAAAAATAAGAGAGGTAATAAAGGTAGTTTAATAAATCAATCTGAAGATATCCTCCATAATTGTTTCTAAACTGAAAAAACTTTAAAAGAAATTTCAAATAAAGCTATTAACAAATTAAAAATTCAAACTGAAGCATTTGTTTATTTTTATACAACTCAAATATATCAGCGAAGTTAAAATATCATGTAATTAGGGTTGTCACCTCTCCAGGTTTCACCTAGATACTCCGGTTTTACTATAAATCTATGGGCTATAGGTTCAGTGAATTATTCTCTAAGTCATCGTAATATTATTAGTACTATAGTATAATAATGTATATAGTTTATCAATAAGCAACGAAAACAATATTTTTTATTCGCTAAAATATGAGATAAAATACGATTTATTGATTATTGTTATACATTAAATTTGTTCAAGGTTTATGCTAATGACCTTTTTTTTCAGCTTGGTCTTCGGGTCTACTGTGCAACCCTAAGTCACAACTCACACTACACACAACTGGCATTATATAACTATTAATGTATTTTTTGGATACACTAAAATTATCAATAATATACATTATAATCATGCATTTTTCACTATTAGTTATTACACTCAGTTTGTTGATTAAAACATAATAAGTGTGGTAGCATGTTAGCATAAAAAGTTAACTACTAAATATATCTATTGGCTATATATCTAATTTAAACATGGTTATATTATACCATAGGAAAGTATTGATAGTTGTTACTCAGCAGTCAGCACTTAGCATAGTCCATAAAATATAAAATATTCTGTTTGAATGGTTCTAATAATAATACTAATCACGGTGTAAGATATGTCTTAAATTGTGGTAATAAGCAAGGTTCTTATAAATCTTATCACAATATCGTAAACCCATAATCAGAATTTGTATTACTTACATACCCTATTAAGGTGAACCTATAATATAGAAAAACCAGATACATGTAAAAATAGACATTTTGACATTTTTAAAAAAAGTACCCAGACGAACAATTACATCCATAAAAAGAGGACATCTGGTCACCTTAGCCATCCCTATATCTATTATACTCGATATATTGTGAGAGTGTAAGCGAAGATGGACCATTGAACTACAAGATAATATAGTTCTTATAGTTCAATGAGATGGACGGAATGCCCTCTCTATGGTGTTATCACAGATATATTTATATATATCTGTAATAAAAACTATAATGTATACAATTTATATACATCTGTTGGTATCATAACCTATTTCCATGATTTAAGATATTCCTTATCTTAAACCGTGCTAATAAAATAATATATTATCTTAGATAAGATAATGTATTATCTGTCTTAGTTACTATCTTCCGTTTACCACCGAATGTTTAGAGATGTTTTGGCCGGAGAAACCCTTAGTGGAGTACACTGTCTGAAAATAGATTTCACGAAATATCTTACTTACGAAATAGAGATGCTAAGCGGAAATTGAGAATAAATTGGCAAGGCACAGAATTAGAGCACTGCGACGAACCAAAATACTTAGGCATTAAACTTGATCGAGCCCTGACATATAGAAGTCATTGTGAAAACACAAAAAAAAAAATAGGAACAAGAAACTGTTTACTTCAGAAACTGGTTGGCTCTCAATGGGGCGCAGACCCTCATGTCCTAAGAACGACAGCCTTATCATTATGCTACTCGACGGGTGAATATGCTTGTGCTGCATGGAAAAACTCAGCACATGCCAAGAAGGTAGATGTGGCACTAAATGTAACTAATAGAATAATTACGGGGTGCTTGAGACCAACCCCAGTTCAAAAAGTACAAGTATTATGCGGGATAGCACTTCCTAACATAAGGCGGGAGGTGGCAGCAAGAGTAGAGAAAACAAAACAAGAATCAGACNTATATGAAGGTAAATTCACGGGGAGTCGACTTAAATCGAGGAAAAACTTTTTGAAGACAACAATTAGCCTATCACAAACACCTGAAGTGACAAGAATAGACTTATGGAAGGAAGGAATGAAAGGGCATAGCGCACAGCTATGGAAGGATCCAAAGGAAAGATTACCACCCGGAAGTCATCTACCATGGTCAATATGGAAGACGCTAAATAGGTTAAGAACCGAAACTGGAAGGACAGCGAGTAATATGGAAAAATGGGGGATAAAAGAGGATGGAAAATGCGAATGTGGTGGGGAGCAGGATGTAGACCATTTGTTTGCATGCCCACTACTACCGATTGAGTGTAGCAAGGAAGAATTTTTGACACATGAAATTTCAGATAAGGCAATACAAATTGCTGCTTACTGGGAAGGGAAGGGAATATGAAGATCGACACGACAAGAAGAAGAAGAAGACGAAATATCTTGATAAAATAAAATTTTTTCAAATTCATAAACGTCTATTCATAATCGAGGATCGAAAAAGCCTATTTCAGCTGATTACTATGATGTTAAGCTACTATTTAAAAAAATATTTTCTTTGCACCTCACATCGTACATTGTTGCATATCTAACGCCTTTAATTCTATTTTCACGCATTTTGAAAACCACTGGGCTCTCTTATCAAATATTGCTAGCGGAACATCCGTAATCAACGCAGTCCCGCTGAAAATTCTTATGATATGATTTGACATATAATATTTTGATTTAAAAATACTCTATTTCTTTGCTTTATTTAGTTATTTGGTACCCTATAATTATTATTTACTATTTATTTAATTTTATTAGTATATTAATTCACTAATCCTAGAATGTATACTACGTAACACAATGTAAGTAGGTGTTTACCTATTAAATGTTTTATAATGCAACAAAAAAATAACCAGAAAAACAAAAAACTGCTCAACTCCATTGTTGAAGTAAAAATTGATGGGAAACTGTCTTTAGTATCGTTATATGATGATCTGCCACATTTTGAGTATGATCTAACAATTGATAATGTAAGTATGATGTAGATTTAAACTGATGAATCCAAATTAATAAAAATTAAAAAATATCTACCCAAGACTACATTTTATAGGTTAATAGACTAGGTTATAATAAAGCTTTGAAATGATTGGTGTTGTTTTAAATTTAATAAAAAAATAAAATAAATCATTATACTAATTTATACATAATTCAATGAACTTCAATAAAGCATGAAATTAAGATACCTATTAATGTTGGCTTGAATTTATTTTCAGGTGTTTTAATTTCTAGTATATTGGACTGATAAGTTTAAAAACTTACTTATCGAAACTATCAACCATCATTTTTATTTATATTCTTTAAAAATTTTTATTCTCCATCAAAGTTTTTATAGAAAACAACATCAACATAGTCTTCTCTTGAAATATAAAAATTATTACAACTTCCTTATACAATTTTTCCGAACTATTATTTAATTTTACAATTATTTAGAAATGTATTTGTATTGCTCAAAGTAATATACCATCATTAATAATAATTAAACATAGGAGTTATTTATAATTAAAATGTAATAAATAGATACTAACTAAAAATTTTAATTTTAAAAGTCAAGGTCTTCTTCTCTTTCACTTCCATTCCAATCATTTGGAGTCACCCACTCTCATCCTAAACTTCCACTTCACCCAATCCCTCACATTGTCCCTACAAATTTGATTTCAGTGGGACACATTTCGTGCCACGAGTTTTAATATTAAAGTAAATTGACCTTTAACCAAAATTAAAAGTAAGAAGATTATAAGTGCTCTAGCATTGATGATTTTTCGATATTTTTATTTTTAAATTTAGACATGAATATGTTAAATTCAAGTATCAAAATAAACATCAATGCTCAGGCATATTTAATCTTCTTACCTTTAAGTTGGTTAATAAGTTAATTTGCTATAATATTAAAACTAATGGCACAAAATGTGTCCTACTGAATGTAAATTTACTATGTTTTGTGTTTGTTAGACGAAGACATTAGATGACGATGTGGCATCCTCTTAAGGAAAAAAAAAGTGATGCCAATTTTACAAAATAAAAAACTTGTACCTACTGTTATCATATTATGTCAACATAATAGCAAAAAAAAGTTTATTTAAAATTGTACGCCCTGCGCACATGCCTATGTCTAACACTGCTCTCAAAATTATTCAACTACACTTCTGATAAATTGTAGTTGGATAATGTTTTACATCATCGTTAAAGCCACTGTTCTTTTATAAAAAAAATCCTAGTTACTTAAACCTATTATGTCACTGCTTAATACTTATTGCCATTAGACGTCTAATCCTGCTGTTTCTCCAAACTCTTACTCCATAATATATTCTTTGTCCCTTTCCTTCAAGTGCTATTCTTCATTTCTTAATAAGCCTATTGTAAACTTCTTCCAGATTTTTCCTTATCAAAACAATATTATATTCTACCTAAACTAAAAGTTTACTATTAATTTAATGACATTATATGTATATTAATGTATAATAAAATATTTTCAGTTAAAAAATTCAAATATAAAACTTAAAACATGTATTCAAGAATTGAAACAACATATTACAAAACTAGAAAACGAAAATTCACATTTAAAAACCACTAATGCAGTTGTACTAAAAAATATTACATCATTATATAAAACTGCATCTAAAGAAATTCAAAGAAAAGATAATATGATCAATGAACTCCGGAAGAGGTATTAATTTTTATATTTCTGTATGCATTATAGTTAATAATTTACAATATCAAACTTATTAATCTTTTTTTTTTTACAAAAATTTTAGTCAACTCTATGCAAAACCAAAAATAGTATCAAAAATGTTTTCTTGTAATGGTAATCAAAACAAACCTAGTCCAGCTCTTGAATTAGGAATTAAAACTCATCAAAAACAAATGGAAGCAAATAATATTTTAAAAATGAATATACAGCCAGATAAAAATATTCCAAAAACAGTTTATTATAAAAGGTTGTGTCATAAGTTTGCTATGGAAAATAAAATTAATGAATTCAAAAATAAAAATTCAAAAGAAAATGAAAAAGATAAAATTATTACTGATAAAAAATATCCAACTCTTGAATTAGAAACTGAAACTCATGCAAAACGAACAACAGAAGATAATAATTCATGTAAACCAGAAGATCAAATTGAAAATAAAGATTTAATAGTTAATGAATTTACTGACAAAAATATTATGAACACAGTTCATTGTAAACCATTATATCAAAAATTTGATGAAGAAAATGAAACTATTGAATTTGAAAATAAAAAGCCGGAAGAAATAGATAAAATTATTACTGATAAAAAAAATGAAGACCTTAATTTAAAATTAAACGTTTATCAAAAGCAAATAGAAGTTATTAATAATTCAGGCAAACCAGAAAATCTAAATATTCCAAAAACAGTATTTTGTCAAAGACCTTGTCAAAAGTTTGATAATGAAAATAAATCTATTGAATTTGAAAACAAAAATATAGAAGAAATAGATGAAATTATTGCTAATAAAAAAACCTCAGCTGTTAATTTAGAGATTGAAACTCATTCAAAACGAACAACAGAAGATATTAATAATTCATCCAAATCAGAAGATCAAATTGAAAATAAAGATTTAACAGTTGTATTTACTGACAAAAATATTATGAACACAGTTTATTGTAAACCATTGTATCAAAAGTTTGATAAAGAAAATGAACCTATTGAATTTGAAAATAAAAAGCCGGAAGAAATAGATAAAATTATTACTGATAAAAAAAATGAAGACATTAATTTAAGATTAAACGTTTATCAAAAGCAAATAGAAGTTATTAATAATTCAGACAAACCGGAAAATCAAAATGAAATTAATGATGATTTTACAACGAATATACAGCCTAACAAAAATATTTCAAAAACAGTTTGTTATCAGAGGTTGTGTCAAAAGTTAGATAAGGTAAATGAAACTATTAAGTTTGAAAATAAAAAGCCAGAAGAAATAGATAAAATAATTACTAACAAAATAACAGAAGATAAAAATGAACTTAATAATATAAATAAATCAATACATCAATATAATCCTATGTCTGATAAATCAAGTGAAACAAGTTTGAATACTAGTGAATCAAATCAATTGCCTGTTCATTTTGAAGTTGAGCATGGAGCATTATTTAGAAATTCTAGAAAAAGAAAAGTAATTATGCTTTCAACATCAGATGATAATAAACCAATAACAAGAAAAGGAAGACGTGTAAAATTGATTACTATAAAAAACAATTACTCCCAACCAATACCTAGTTTTAATGGTGCTAAAAAAACAGAAATTGATTTTAGTAAAAATTCAATTCATATTGAGAAAGTAGTTGAAAGTAGTAGTCTATTTTACATACCTCAAGTGAAAAAACGAAGAACTATGAATTTTGGTGATTGTAATTCATAAGGTTTGACTAAATTTATAAATTATTTTTAAAGGTATAAGATTAGTGAAACAATTTAGTGTTTTTACTATTACTGTAAAATTAGTAGTTTATTAATTTGAGTAAGGGTAATTTTTCTTTAAATATCATAACTACATAAAACAAATTAAAAATAAGGAAATCCCTTCAACAATTTCTTTTCCAAAAATTTTTTTTGTTGGCCACATTGTTCCTAAATCTTCACCCAACTGTACAATTTGATTTACAATTAATCAGTACCTACAAATTATATATTAATAACCTTTTGATATATATATTATTATTATAGTTAAGATCACTAATCAATAACTTAAATTTGATCAATTTAAATATTTATACTCTTTGATTATTATTTTTCGGAATATATGATTTTTCTTATTAAGAATCGAGTCTGTTGATTATAATCTGTATTTCAATCATTTTTGGTAAAATATTCTATAGTCAAATGATCTAATTTTGATTTTCAGTAAGATTTTATTAATTTAATATGTTTTTTAATCCAATTTACTTTTTAAATTTTATTTGTTATTACAATTATAATTTGGCATATTATGTTGTACATCAATGGCGACTGGAGTTTTAACAGTTATTTATTCAATTGGGAATCAGTGTTTTAATTTTGAACAGAAGGGTATTAAAAAAATATATTCCTTGCTTTTCGCTGGGTTTTTTTTACATTGAATATCATGAGTAGTTTTAGAATACTACTCAAGGTTTGGTGTTTTTTAAGATTCACAAAGTATTTTAGTTGGATAAAATTCTAAATTTCCTTTTATTATATTAAAACAATATGCATGCATGTATTATTTATGATATTATTATCCAAATAGTTAAAATAATTGCATGCTTTTTTTTAACCCCCTTAAAATGTTTGAGAAAAGTATGTAGTTCAGTAGAATTTATACTATAAAATAATAATTTTGTAAGTGTACATCATAAACTTTTTAAATTTGGAGTGGAGCAAGGGATCCAGTGGCATAACCAGGTTTTTTTTTTGTGGAGGGAGGGTGTTTTATTTTGTGTTTGGATGTTACTTGTAACTTGCACATGTAACACATAAAAATTATACTTAATAATTTTCTATGCATAACAACACATTTTGTAGAAATCTAATGCATAACTGCTTATAGTAAAAATTATAATTGTTGCCATAAATAAAGTCAAAGGAAAGAAGGGGTGTCTAAACATTAAAACCCCCCCCCCCCCTGCTATGTCACTGAAGGTATCCATTGGTTTGATTATATTAAGGTTTATTTATTTAATATGTCTAAGCTATTTTTCCACCAGAAATTTTACTCCAAATAACAATGTTATTTTATATTGAATCTAGTTGTTGCATTAAGGTCATTTCTTGGTTTTTGAGTTTAAATAATAGAATAGAATATTGGTAATATGATCTAAAGAATACAGATAGTTTTGCAAAATTAAAGCCCAGAAGATATAACATGTATATAATATAAAATACCTATATACCTACATATTTATTGAGTTTTTTTATTGTTTTAATTTCAGGGGATATCAAATTATTAAACTGTGTTTATTTAAATAACTATCTATATGTATTGTTGAATTGTTTTTTGAATTTTGTTACCTATTATAGTTAAATAATTTTGTTTTAATTATACTCTGCATAATATATTATTTATTTCTGATAATATAATAACTAACTAGATACCTAATTCCTGTGTATAATATAAAATAAATACATTTTTTTTGAAATTAATTCAATTTTTTTTTTTGTTATGACTATGTTATAACTTATAATTGAAAAACTGAGTTTTTTATATGTAAATATATGAATTGTGTGCTTAAATATTACGCTAGTGATTTGACTATTGTGAGCTGCTCTGGTATTGGTTAAATTTTCAATGTTGGTTTTATACATATAGTAAGGTTACTCTATGGTTTTTTATTCTATAAAAAACAAAAATTATTATCAAAACAGTCCCTTAACTTCGCAATTACTGTCTTAGAAAATCTAAGATCGTGTTCGCAATGGTTAATTTTGATAATGGTATGACCATTAAAGAATAGATGATTTCATCTATTATGAACTATAACAATGATAAGACGTCGAGACTTAATATGTTATCAGCAGATCAGCTATACAGTAACAGTTTTTTAAATAGTATTAGTTGTGAGTAGTTTATTACCTGTTACCTAAGTTCCATAAGTACTTCATAATAATTATTAAAGTTTTTTTATTTTCAAATTTATTTTTCATTAAACCTATTATTATATTATACTGAACATTATAATATTTATTTACACAAAATTAAATCAGTTAATGGTTTTAGAATTCTTTAAACAAAATTTACAGCTTTTAAACTGAGGTAAAGTTACTTTGTTTTAATCTTTATAGAATAATCCATTAGTTATTTACTGTTATATTTTAAATAAAATAATAACATTTAACTACTTATATTGTACTAATGTTATAAACTGACTATCTATTATTTAGACATTTGTGTGCATAAATTAAATAGAAAAATTAAGCACCTACTAGTTTTATACTACAGTCTACAATCTGCTAACCTTACTCATTTTTTTTAGTTCTGTAAATTAACATAAAATTATTAAATTGTATCATGTAGAAATAAAAGTATTGGAGGGTATACTTAAATCATTTTTCAATTCAAATACAAACACAATTAGGTAGGTAGATCAGAGGATTTTTGGGTTTTTTAATTCATATTTTATATTAATTACCTAGGTATACAACTTGTAGTAATCGGAAAAAAATATCTCCAAAACAATTATTTGTTAAAAATAATAATATTTAAAAAAAGTTTTTTTGTTGTATTTACTACCTTATGAGTTGAGTTTTTAAATACCCCGGAAAATAATTTTTTCAAATTTAGCTGTTTCAAAGATTAGCCCGGATTTATAGACGGATACTTCAATTTAATTTATATGTATTTTCTAATATATAACAATGTAAATGTCATCCGTGTTATCTAGATAACCCATAAAACAACAAAAGTAATTATTTTTTGTATCAAAAATACCCGGAAACTGGTTTTTTTTAGGAGGCGAATGGTGTGGAGATAGCTTTAAACCTTCTATGGACAACACCGAACATTTTAAGAAAAAACTAATAAACTCAATTAATTTTTAATATTATGTTTTTGACTGCATAAAATAATAATAGTAATAATAATAAAAATGTAAAAAATATAAATAGGATGTATGTAACAAGAGTTGGCAAATTTTATCATGAATTTGATCTTTGAACCATATTAAAATTAAACTGCACTTTTTTTGTTAACACTAAATATAATTTATCAAAGGCACATTATTGTATCAATTTTTTTTTTCTAATTAAATTTTTATAATAAATTTAATTTATATAGATTTGAATATATATATATATATTTAATGTATAGGACTATGGCAACAACTAAAAACTGGATTACTTGATTTTTAAAATTTTGTTGGCTTATCTGTCACTAGTTCATCACTATAAATTATACATAAAATACAACTAAGTAGATACCTATGCATAGAGATATTTAGATAATAGAAATATGAAAATGATAGGTACTTACCTACTTAATTGTATATTTTTTTGACTTAATTAATAAACTGTCATATTGTACTAAATACATTTTCATAATTATTTATTACGAAAAAAAAATAAATCATTTAAGTTGAATATAATTAATTGTATACAATAAAATATTAAAAATAAATTTGTTTTTATAAAATGAATATATTGATAAATACGTAAACAGTTAATATTATATAATATTATTTTTAAGGTTATTGAAATTTTGTGTTTATGAAATACCTATTGACAAGTTATGTTTATGTTACAGATTTTCAATATTTTACAATTTATAATGCCAGTACAAGAGACTGTTATTCTCCTAGACATTGAAGGAACAATTACATCAATTAGCTTTGTTAAGGATACATTATTTCCATATGTCACAAATAATTTAGTGAATTACATAAATAAACTCTGGGGCAAAGAAAAACTTGAAATTGATTTAGAATTATTACGTGAACAAGCAGCTATTGATTCTAACAGTGAATTGGAAGGTTTTGTGCCAATTGTTTCTGGTGATAATGCAAAGCAATCTATCATTGATAATATTAGGTGGCAAATGAGTATCGATCGAAAAACTACTGCTCTAAAGCAACTGCAAGGTCACATATGGAAAGAAGGCTATGAAAATGGTGTTTTAAAAGGTCACTTATACGAAGATGTATTACCTGTTTTAAATAAATTAATTAAGTTGGGTAAACGGATATACACCTATTCGTCTGGCAGTACAAATGCTCAAGAATATTTGTTTCAATATTCCATGTATGGAGATGTATCTAATGTTTTCATAAAATATTTTGACACCAAAATGGGACCAAAAAACTCAGTGACTAGTTATACAAATATTGCAAATGATATAGGTGTAAATTGCGGTGATATTTTGTTTTTGACTGATATACTAACTGAAGCAGAAGCAGCTATTAAGGCGGGGTGTAATTCAGCTCTTTTAGAAAGACCAGGTAATGCTCCTCTAGATCCTGAGAAAAGTTCTACTTTCAAAATTATGAAGACTCTAAATGAATTATTAGAAAATTAATAGATATTCACTCACAACTAAAATACACACAAAGTTGACCTTGTTAATTGTTAAATATATATATTTATGTGAGTACGTGTATTTATATTATGATTTATGTTTATATTATCATTGTTACATTTCTTAATAAACTTTTGTATTCACATATCTTTAAAAAATATTTATTTATTTTTAACTTTTTTAAAAAAAAGTAAACAGTATAAAATATATAGTTGAACTTTTGAAATTAAAAATTAAGTACATGGTAAAATGTAACTACTTAACTAAAAGAAAATAATATACTGATACATGATTATTAGTATACATTACACAGAAATGATTTATATTATAAGCAAGACTCAAAAGTCATAGCACTAAAAAAGGTTTGTTTTTAGCATTTAAAAATACTGATGTTCTATGTTAATATAATAAATTTGATAATTGCTGTCTGTAGTGAATTTTTAATATTTTATGAAAGGTACTGACAAAAAATCATGTATATATTTCAAAGATATCTATTAATAGATGACTTTTTTAGACAGTATTTCATTGAAATTGTATCAATATCCAGACCCCTTAAAGTGAATCAGTCATTAGTTTTTTTTTCACTTTATATTATTATTTCTTTTATCATATAAAAATATCCCTTAAATTATCAAAATGGCTACAATTACAAAATATACAAAAAAAAACAAAATTGTATTTTGGTTTAGTGAAGTAGGTATGAAACAAATGTATATATTACTGAAGATGTTCTAGGAGTCAATATGAATATACAATTGCTAAGAGTTTCGGCTATAGATAATATGGTTGCTGAACGAACCGTGATAATGTGAAGCTCAAAACATATATTGGTTTTCACATTAGCATAAAGCGCTCTCTAGGTGATAAATAGTATGACTACATAAATAAATATAAATTATTATTGCTCAACCTACAGGGTTATAGAAGTAAAATGTAGTAAATAGTAATTATTATTTGCTATTTAGTAATATAATAATATTTATGTTCGTAGTATGCAATAGATGAATAGTCAGGTTCACAGTTCTCACTCAAGTATTTTTATTTATTAATTAATATTTTATTAATATTTAAACCTATTTTAAAGTAGTATATTCTACAACACACTTTAAATCTGTTTATTTATTATTTAATATAGCTTGTATGTTTAAATTTTTTTTTTCTTTCAATCATATTATCAAAACATTTTTTTTTTCCTAATTTCTTTGTTGCCTAGGCTAGCGACTAAAAGCTTTACTAAAATTGGCACTGGAATAATTACTAATAAATCATACGTCCACAATTAGCAAGTGAAAGAAGTTAATCAACTTGTTTAGTAACTTAGCCGAGTACTATCAACTACTATATACCCGGAATAATAGTTTTGGGAAGTTTTTAAAACAAACTGGCGAATTGTTTAATCCGTCTGTAAGACGAATCACGATGTGAGTGATATGACCGGTTCGTGACATCCCGATTTAGCGTTTTATGTTTTCTTTCCATGGAAGAAACGCTCGACTGATTTTTAGGAAACTTTCGTTTTTCACTTCTGTAGTTCTTTGCTCGCGTAGTGTTATTTTATTTTCGGAACCAATAAAATTGTTAATCACTTATTTCGTTGATTAATTTCGTATTTAATCGCTTCGATTGTGAATTTATTATTCGAAAACACCGTCGTCTTTTATTATTTACCGTGTGCCGTTGTGTCGTTGTGCGATTGTGCGTGAATCGAAGTCTTAAGTTTAGAATATAAAACATATTATCATAGGCGGATCTAAGGGTGTGCCGGAGCACACTCTTATGTAAAAATAAAACTAATAAATAACAAATAATAGGTAATAAACATTATGAATACACATTAAATGACTTTGCTTAGTGTTTAGAATAAGATTCTGAAATAATTACAAGTAATTTTTTACCAATCATTATTTTATATTATTTCCGAAATCTGGATTTTTACATTTTAAATCACAATTATCGAACTCGTTTAGGCCCGTTTCACATGGACTCGTATCGTACGCGCGCATATCATACGCTGCGCTTTGGATTACATTACTTAAATTGACCATTTCGCATGCACGCGTACGACACGCGACGCGTTTCACACTTGCTTAACTACTTTCGCTTGAACCGAAATCAATTCAACGAAGTCCGTAATTTTATGCGGGATTTTCATCTGGGTGTAATGCTCAAAAACCTATTGATCCTGAAGAAGCAATCTTTTCCCACATTTCATTTTTCAATTTGGTTTTCATATAGTTGACACGACTAATATCATATAATATATTGTAATGTCGGACGGCTTCAATTACAGTCTCTTCCATCGCAAAAGTCGAAAATATCGATTTAAAATTATGTTAGGCCGGCGTATACGTATGTTTTCCAAAAAGCGAGTGGCGCGTGTACAGTTCATTGTGTCGCGGACACTGCTTGACGCAGGTCGACACAGGCACAGTACTGCTCTGCCCCGCCCTGCCCTACCGCCCAACATGCGCTAGTACGTATTAACTAATAGATTACAAAAAACTATGTTGGGCTGCGTAGTATCGCTACGTCTCAATGTGCGCCCGGCCCGAAACACGATCAATTGAAATCACTCGCGTAATTATAATGTCTCGAACAGGAATTAACGGTCAATTAACGGCGTAGAAGCTTCCGAAGTTAAAGAAAAATGTAAAAGTATTGTGCCATTTCAAAGACGGTTATTAATTTAAATAAAACCAATAATAATTATGACAAATAAATTACACAATTATAATCAAAATAAAATTTTAACTAGCGTTGTTTTAATGTATTAAATAATTAATCATTTTAATTAATACTTACATGTCACATAATTTATTGTATACAGCCAATAGCCATACAAGTAAATGGTATACATCAATAGGTTACCTATATAGTATTGGTTAGTAAACAAGTGCTGAATACGTAAAATATTTTTATTTTTGTGCATTTTATACACCGTTTTATGGAAGAAATATGTATAAAGCGAGTGAATTTGTTTATAGTCTTCCCTTTATATTATAAAAAAAAACAACTACATAAAAGGCTGGGTACACTCAAATGTAAAACTATAGGTCCGCCTATGCATATTATTATATAATATAGGTATAATAATATATTTGGTTTTCTTTTGTACGGTCTGAGTGTCGTTGAGTGCACGGGAAAAGTTTGAAAATGGCAACAAATTGACTGGTCCTATTTTTGGTAAGTACCTATATCTGTTATAAATACTTATTATAAATAACCTAAAAGTGTTTTTCCCTCGGCCAGGGTGACTGAACTACCCACTTATTTTAGATTCTAATAGGAGCGAGGAACGTATTGGTTTTACAATGATGTTTATTTTTTTATTTTTCTGTGAATAACTTTTCTACCAAACATTTTGCTCTGATTTTTAAGTATAGCGCTCTTTTACTGAAAGGATATGCATTCAATTTTTTTTCTACCTTCCCAACTTCTCACCTTCAACAGTGTCCCACCCATTGTACGAAGTAGGTATGTCCGTTTTTTTTATTACGTAGGTACCTATTTGAGGCATCAATTATAATATATTCACTGAATATTATTCAGGCACTGATCCAGAACAAAGATCTGGGAGAGGGGCAACAATTTGTTTACAACATAATTACAATTAAAATATAATCTAATATATTATGTATATTATTTTCTCATACAATTATCATACAAAAATTGAAAAAAAAAATATGTCTGGGGGGAGCCTGGGCCCTTAGGCCCTCTTCTGGATCGTCGAATGCATAAATACAAAAAATATGATTATATTATACAATTACAATATAATATACAATATATATAGAGAGAGATAGGTAATTAATAATAAAAGGCACCTACAGTAGACAGTGCCGTAGCCAGGGGGCACTGGGGGTACGTGCCCTCTCCCCCGAAATCTTTTTTTTTTTAGTAATGTAGTTTACATAAATTTATTGTATTAATAAAATGTATTATTAGTAGTACTAGTATGATTATTATAAAATATACTGTTTTTTTATTATTATATAACATACATACCTATATAAATATATAACATATTTTATAATATCAACGGCTAAAGTTTATGTTTAGTACAGAATATCCAATTTCGGGTTTTCCGTTTCGCGTATTTCTTAGTTAAAATTTAAAATTTTAAAATTTATTTTTTCCAAAATGTGTACATTTTAATGCTAAATCCATTGGTATAATCAAAATTTACCTATCATATTTACTTTAATAGTTCTTGTACATAAACCTTAAAAAATAGCATTTTTGGAATTAATCCAAAATCTGGTTAAAATAGAAATTTTTATTATTATTATTATTATTATATTTAGTTAAGTCAAAATAAATCTATTTGGCTTAGTTATAGAGTTACAAACATTCAAACGTGCCATGTTACGCTGGGCTCACTCAGAAAAAAAAGATAGTAACATCATTCTTATCTGCTGTCTTTTTCTAACACGTTATCTTGGTTATGTTTACATCTTTTTGATTTTAAAATAATCGTGAATTAAAAAAAAACCTAAAAGATTCTCGTAAAGAATTCAAAATTGAATGATTTGACATGTCTAAAGCCTTATATTCCAAAGGATTCTGTTTCCAGATTTCGGAGAATAATTTACAAATTATCAAATAATAAACCTTAATGAACTATAATATTAAATAAATAACTAAAAAAATAATTATATTTTTAAATTGCTTAAAAGAATAAAAGATTTTTCATTACAAAAAAAAAAAAATCTTTATTACGATATCTTGCGTTTTAAATTCATGTAGTAAAATATAGTAAAATGGTTAAGTGTGGAAAGGGGACATGTACAACCAAGTGTATAACAAATTAAAAAGGTTGCAAATAGTTCATGTTAATTTTTGCAGAATATCGAGATGATTAATTTTTAAAAAGTTACACAATAACGTGATTTATTCATTTTTACGCCTATTCTCAGTCTTGCCTAAACAGTTTATTATGCCTTCTGTATAAATTGGTTAACATGTTCCCTTTTTGCGATTAGTGATCCATTTATTCTTTTATAAGGCTACAAAATTTTGTTTTAACTTTACGCTGTAAAACTAAGGGAGTATAAATAAGAAGTGATATAGGAATGGGGAAATCATAAAATAACAATTGATTAGTATTCTAACTTAACAAAAACTAAATTTAAAAAAATTAAGTGCTTCC